ATGTAGCACTTTAAAGACTAACAAGATGGTTTATTAGATGATGAGCTTTCGTGGGCCAGACCCACTTCCTCAGATCAAATAATGGAAGAAAATAGTCACAACCATATATATATATCCTTTGGTAATAAACCATCTTGTTAGTCTTTAAAGTGCTACATAGTCCTGTATTTTGTTTCAGCTACACCAGACTAACACGGCTACATCTCTATTTCTTAATGGGTTTGTCTTGGGAAGAGTAGATGGAGAATCACTTCCAAGCCAAATTTGGAACAGTTGACTTGCAAACTTTATACTGTATGGCAAACATTTTATACTTCCAAGTCAAATAAAAACAAATCTCTGTCATCTTTGTACAAATGTCCTGTTGGATAAGGTCTCCAAAACAGAGCACAAAAAGTCTCTAAAATAGAGCACAGAAAGTATGTCAACAAGAGATTTTTTTTTTCTTTTGTTAACAATTTTGTAGAACTCTGCTGTTCCTGATATCCAAGGAAGATGGCTCTGTGTGTTATCTGCTGATGGAGGTTATGTTTGCACCTCTAAGGGCTTGTCCTCACTACATAGTGGTCTGATGCTGCAGTGATCGATTCACTGACTGTTGATTTACTGTGTCTGCTTAGACACAATAAATCAACCTCTGAGCACTCTCCCGTTGACTCTGGTACTTCACCAGACCGAGAAGAGTAGGCAGAGTCGACAAGAGAGCAGCCCCTGCCGACCTTACCGCATGGAAGACATTGCGGTAAGTAAGTCCACTTCAGCTACAGTATTTGTGTAGCTGAAGATGTGTGTTTTAGATTGAGAGGGTGCGTAGAGTAGACAAGGCCTTGCTGTCTGTTTCAACGAGCTGATAAGTTTTTAAATGTTCTTGCATGTCTCACTATACCTGCATGTTAAAATAAAATCTAAATAGAATCATATTGACTAGAAAACAAATAGATAATTCCATATGAATATCTACACATTCTGGGGAACAAGGGAAGAGGTGGAAGATGTGGTGAGGATTTCGGCAGACTGCCAGCAATGACTTAAAAATCCTAGTTTATTTACCCTTATTCAGATCATGTGTACAGGACTTGTTAACCTCTGAGATAATGCGTGTGTCATAGTAAAACAAATAGAGCCGACTCTCTTTAATTCATACTTCCTATTACTGAATAAAGACTTAATACACGTCCTGTAGCGAGGTTCTGTATTACTCAGACCAATTTAGTCATCTCTTGAGAAGTATTAACAAACCATGCACAGAAAGATGTACCCTCAACCCCAGCTTCAGCATTTGGTCATGCAATTTTTGCCATACCGTCTTCCATTCCCCCTCCCCCCCCTCAATCCAGTGCTTTGCCTCTCTATGCTTAGATGCAGTTGCAGGACTGGGGCTGCAGATTTGTAAGCTCTTCAAGGCAGGATCTTTGTGCATATCTCCAAAGTATTTAGTGTACTTGTTTACACTGATTTAAGTAATATGCACTAGTATGTTATGAAATATTCTACAATTAAATATGCTTTTTCACTCAAATATGTTTGTATGTATTACAATTTTAGCATGTTTGTTCTCTAATTTTATTTGTCCTATAAATTAAAAACACCTGGATAACCATAAGAGGATACGCAACAAACTAATGACTAAAGAGGACATCAGAAAATGTTTAATGACTAAATCATCACGACTCGTCAGGATATTTGGTAGAGCTAACCTCTATCGACCCAGATTTTGATAAAGTTTGTGCATCTTCAATGCTTTCAAAAGTGGAAGAAGTCTAGAAACTGGAAAAAAAATCTTCTGCTCAAAGGCTTTATTTTCATAATACCTTTCTTTATTTTTTCTATTATTCTAAACCAAATTTAGAAGTGGTGGCAGGGGAAGAGGACAGCAGAAGCATGAGAATAGAAAACAAAGCTCAGTAGAACGGCAGTACTTTATGGCTTTATAAAGTACTACTACTATGATCCCTGGCTCCCCCTCTTCTCCAATACTCTGGGCATCCTATTGATCAGGGGTGTTGATGCAGGGAGGGAATTTCATAAGAACCTCAGACTTTTGATTGTTTTTCAGACTTGTGCTCTTAAGTCACAGTGCTTTGAAAGAGCGTTCAAAAATCATGAATCAGCCTACACCCATCCCCATCCTAAGAAAAATCATGAGATTGTAAAAACCATTTTCAAGCTTTATTCCTCAGTTGTGGGCAGGAGCATTAATAAAAATATCAAATATAACAAGATTCAGAATAAAATCATGAGTTGGCACAACTGCAATCCCACCCATTGTCTCTGTTCATTATGTCATATCAATATATAATTAGACTGTAAAATCCTTGAAGTTTTATTTTCTACAACACCTGGACTGCACCATGACCTGTTACCATATGAATTAATAAGGCAGTATAGTTAGGGTTGCCAGGTGTCCGGTATTCAAGGGTTTTGGGCCCTCTGTCCGGTTAAAAAAAATTCAGAAAACACTGGTTATGTGCAATGTCCGGTATTTTCTGGCTGGGCGCCTGATAGAAGCCTGGCAGGGACGGAGGAAGTGGCTGGGAGGCGGGGCGCGATCGGCACTGGGAGCCTCTGGTTGCGTCTGATGTAGGAGTGACACCTTGGGGAGGAGGAGAAGCCCTGTCCGTGCTCCTGAGTGCTGTTTAAGCGCGTTGTGGAGCCGTAGCCGGACTCGCTCATGCTTCACCGGGACCATGCACAGGACAGGCAGCGCCCTGGGATCTGCATGTGCCCAGATCAGTCCCACTCCCCGCCGGCCAATTCTCTCCTCCCCCCCCTCCCCTGCTGTACTGTTAATGCCTATTCTCACTTTCAGGTGATATTTTAAATAAGAAGCAGGCAGCATTATCTCCCACAAATGTAAACAAACTTGTTTCTCTTAGTGATTAGCTGAACAAGAAGTAGCTGTTTCACTTGTTTTCTTTTGGAATGAAGTTATGTAACAAGCTACATTTTTAAATTGTACTTTCTGAACATGGGGAAATTCTACACCACTGCACATGTGCAGACCTTGTCCTCCCCTGGTTTCTTTGCTTCCCCACAAAAAAATGACTCCCTTTTGGGGAAGCCTTAACAATGACTCTGTGACCCTCCCCAACAGTATGTTTCCGGGGCAGCCAACAGACAGGTAAATCTGTGGGGTCAGGAGGTGCGACTGGGGAAAGAGCGGGCTGACCGCTCCTACCCTGTACAAGGATCAGCTGCTAGTTCCAGCAGGGCTGGGAAGGACAGGACGACTTCTTCCCTTGTACAGTATCTGGGGGTGGGTCAAACCCGCCCTAGATTTCTCCCACAGTTGCAGGAAGCTCTGCAAACTCCCTTCTCTGCCCCGCTTCCTTCACCCATTTATCCTCTGCTGCAGGGAGGGATCCCCCACCCATCCAACCCCTTTGTGTCCAGACCTCATAGCCACACCCTGTTGCTGAGCGTCATCCCTCTTGCACCCAGAACCCCCTGGAGCCCCACTCCCTCTGCACTTGGAACACCCTGATGAGTCACCGAGATCCTCTCTCCACTGAACCCCTCACACCTGGACTACTTCTGCTGAGGTCCATCCTACCTACACTCTCCTAGTAAACCCCAACAACCTTTAATTGGACCCTCCTCCAGATACCCATTACCATTGTACCCAGAACCCTTACACCCAAAAACCCCTGTGGACCCGGATCCCACACTGAACTGCCTTTACCCAGATTGCTCCATACCAGTCCCCCTCAGCCCACGCCTGCATCCCCTCTACTTATCCCCTCCACATTTCAGTCCTGTCGTGCTGAGCCTGCCTGCTCACACCTAGCACAGAGGGGTGTTTCTGCAGTAGGTCTGGTCCTTGTGCTTTTTCATGGCTGAATGCAGCTACAGTTCTGGGTCTGGGTCTTGGGGGGAAGGGAATGCACAATGATCTCCCACCAGTGGCCTGTGCTCCCTATTGTTATGCTGCTGCCTCCACATTTATGAGACACACACATTTTGCAGCATTTTAAAACAGTACGCACAATTTTTAACTTTTTGTTGAGGAATGCCCTCAGGAATAGTTCCTGCCAGCATTTGTCTGGAAGCCCCCAATACTAGTGTGGGAGGCAGCACTGTAACCTTTGTGAAGATTAGCTTTAAATGCGAATATATCTAATAAACTTCATATACTTCATTATAATCCTTCTGAAGAGCAAAACTGAAATTTGTCTTTGCTCGAGGGGAGATTGTGTGTATGTATGTGTGATGTGTTTCCACGTTGCATCTTTATTGTAGGATCACATATAAGTGGCTCTCTTAAAGTAGATGGGGCTATTTGTCTTTGTGCTTTACAAACTGATGCAAGGGAAAAGGTCTAACGCCACCATTGCCAGTTTAAGCCTTGGTAATTATATAGTGTAAGTGTGAAAACACCTCCGAACACTTCTGTGAAGTAATGGTAGTCCTATTTATGGATGGAGAAACTGAGGCACATAGCAGGATTAAATGATTTTCCTACAGTGCATCACTGTCAGAAGCCAGGATTGCAATGCAGGATTTTGTGGTTCCCAGTTCCTTGTTTAATTCGATAAATTCATTGCCTGAATTAAGTATTTTTCAAATATGTTGTCTCCTTTGTCGTTTCCTGCTAGATGAGGGAAGAAAAAATACAAGAAGAAAAAACATCAGAGGATCTGATCCACAAGCTAATTCTAGAAGACATGGAAGTGGGAAAAAGAAAAATGGAAGAACAGCAAAAAAAAGACGAACCACTAATGCTTAAAACGAATCAAGAATTTGTAAGTAAACACACTACACCATTCCTTCCCAAAATATAGGACCAGCAATCAATTTTTTTAGACAAAAAATGACCTCTTAGAGAGTCCAGTGTCTCTTACTTCTGTGCAGCTGAAAAGGGGAGTTGCATGTCATTGGAAGCTGTCGCTTCCTGAACTTACTTGAATTCTTTCTAGCCCTAGAAGGACCTGAGATACTGGACTGTCCAGCTGTGATATTTTTAGCTATAGAAAATCTACCTTAGGTCATCTTTTAGAGGTTTGAATAACAATTCTGTGCAGTGTATATTTGAATTCCATAGTGACTAAGATACCTGGTTCTGTAGGGGAAGAAATACAAGAAATAGTCCTAGTAACTTTTTTAAAACTCTCTACAGCATTCCTAAAATACTTACCTGTAATACATGTGACATATACAGAATACAGGGTGATGTGGAATGAAGGTTTAATTGTCTACCATTTGGAGTGACCTGTTTAACTCGCTTCTGGCTTCCCCACTTATGAGTAATGTGACTATTTCAGATTTGGTGATAAAACTTGTATAGCAAACCATACCATTACATTTTTCCTCTCATGCTTTTTCCTCTTAACCGGGATTCTCTGGACCGGCAACATCCATGGTCCAGCATGAATGTTGCAGGACTAGAGAGTCCCGGTGGAGGGCCAGAGGTAAGGATCCCTGCAGAGTTGGCAGGGCAGTGGGCTGCCCGCAGGGAGCTGACAGTGTGGTGTGGCGTGGTGTGGCAGTGGGGCTGCCCAGTGAAGTTAGGAGAGCTGGGGTGTAGCTGCCAAGAAGCCCCAGCCTGCAGTGTGCGGTGCTGCCCAGAGAGCCCCAGCATTGAGCTGCCTGGTGGACCCACAGCAGCAGAGCCAGCAGAAGATGGGGAGCCGGCTGGGAGGCAAGCGGGGCTGGTGACAGGCATCCAAAAATGACCTCCCCTGGTCTGGCAAAATCCCTCATCTGGGACCAATCAGGTCCCGAGGGTGCTGGACCAGGGAGTCCAACTTGTACTTCTAGAAAGACATATCTACAAACTTATATAATGAATTATTTTTTTTTTAGCTTAGCTTTTGCCCATATCCGTCATAGGCTTTGTGGAAAGAATCTTTCTCCACCAAAAACTATTACACAGTAATGCTGATACTGAACTACTGGCCCCTTAGTGTCGTTTGCTGAATGACATGCTTTGAGCTCCAAGTCCTGTAGCATTTGATACTGAAACTCTTTGTCACTGAACCACAGCTGCACGTATTGTATGAGTTCTTTTTTTGCAAGTGGTAAAAACGTTGGACCATAAGTTGCTCTAGCCTAAGGAAAGTTAATAGATCTATGACCATATGCATCAGCTGGCACTCTCATTCTGTTCTTTACACACTTCATGTGGCTACTCCATGGGACTCAACACATTTTCCCACGGAATAACTATTTCCTGAGTGACTCTTTTGTGCATGCCAGCTGATTCTTCCTTTCTTAACTTCAGTTTCCTGAACGCCTCTCGGATTCAGAGAATGAAGAACCATTCCAGAGCAAACATGCACATCGATCAGCGTTTGTCTCCAAAGGCAGCACCTATTCTTTTGCTTTCCTGGCAGGGTAAGAAACAGATTTGGTTCAGACTTGCCATTCCTCAAGAACATCAATATTGTTCATTTTTTTGTTCTAAACATCCCTGAAGTACTTATCTAATTCAAACAGTCACCACGGCCCAAATGGCTGTTTTGAAGATTTAGAAAATGTAGTGATTAATAATTGGTAAAATATAATTGGGAGTCCAAAGAAATGTAGGTTTGGAAGTAACCTTGAGAGGTCATCAAGTCCAGCTCCTGCACTGAGATAGGACCTAGGCCATCCCTGACAGGTGTTTCTCCAGCCTTTTCTAAAAAACCTCCAGTGATGGGGATTCCACAGCCTCCCTTGAAACCTGTTCAGGCTCTTAACTATTAACTCTAGTTGATATCTAAAGCTCTCCTGCTGCAGATGAAGCCCATTACTACTTGTCCTATCTTCTGTGGACATGGAGAATAATCACCATCCTCTTTATAACCATCCTTGATGTATCTATAGACTTATCAGGTCTCCCCTCAGTCACCTTTTCTCAAGACTAAAGGTGCATGGGTTTTTTCACCTCTTCTGATAGATTAATTTTTCGAAATCTTTGATTATGAATAGGAACTTTTTGTCCCCATAATTGCTATAGAGGTCTTGAAATTAATGCATTGGGTATGTGTACCAGTACTTTGAAGAATGTGTTATAAAATTCATTACATTTACTCTCTCCTACTGTTGTCTAGAAAGATCTACTTGGGAGGTTCATCTATTTAAAAAAAGTTTCTTTATACATTTCTCAAAAGGATATAAGGCATTTTACAGCACAAATGTCAAGAGCTGGCCCCTGCTCCAAGGCGATTATTATATAACTGTTCTCATTGGTTGAGTGACAGATTGGATCACAGGAGTCCCCTTGGGGTTGTCCTTCCCTCCTCCCCCCAATGGGCTGATGAAACCACCTATGCCTGTCTGACTTCCCATCACTCTGTCCTGTTGGACCATAAATTCTGGTCTCCCGCAGACAGGGGATGTGGAGAGTGTGTACCCCCAGCCAGACCCTTTCACCTGCTTGGTGATTGTCTCTTTTTCATATGATTTTGAGAAGCAATCCCATTTTCCTGGCACAACCAAACTCTTACCGTGTTGTAAATTATAGGAAGAAGCTGTGCACCGAATTTGGTGGTCCTAGTTCTTACTGTTTAGGAAGAGTTCTTGAACAGACAGACACACATACAAAACCCTCTCAAATATATAGTAGATAAAGTGATTTAAGTGATTGCAAGTGAAAACAGATAGATGAAAGTAAGTTACTAAACCAGAATAAATTAAACAAGCTAGCTAATTCTAATACAAAAAGAAACTTGTTACATGCAAATTCTTACCTTAAACAGTTGTTCTTTTCTCAGGCCAGAGTTGATCTTTTTCTAACCTCTAGATTTATAAATGATCTAGAGAAAGGGGTAAACAGTGAGGTGGCAAAATTTGCAGATGATACCAAACTGCTCAAGATAGTTAAAACCAAAGCAGACTGTGAAGAGCTTCAAAAAGATCTCACCAAACTGATTGGGCAACAAAATGGCAGATGAAATTTAATGTTGATAAATATAAAGTAATACACGGAAAAAATAATCCCAACTACATATACAATATGATGGGGACTAATTTGGCTACAACTACTTGAGAGAGATCTTGGAGTCATTGTGGATAGTTGTCTGAAAACCCACTCAATGCGCAGCGGCAGTCAAAAAAGCAAATAGAATGTTAGGAGTCATTAAAAAAGGGATAGAGAATAAGACAGAAAATATCTTATTGCCGCTATATAAAACCATGGTACACCCACATCTTGAATACTGCATACAGATGTGGCCGCCTCATCTCAAAAAAGATACGTTGGCATTGGAAAAGGTTCAGAAAAGGGCAACAAAAATGATTGGGGTTTGGAACGGGTCCCAGATGAAGAGAGATTAAAAAGACTTGGACTTTTCATTTTAGAAAAGAGGACACTAAGGGGAATATGGTAGAGGTGTATAAAATTATGACTCGTGTGCAAAAAGCGAATAAGGAAAAGTTATTTACTTATTCCCACAATATAAGAACTAGGGGTCACTAAGTGAAATTAAGAGGCAGCAGATTTAAAACAAACAAAAGGAAGTTTTTCTTCACTCAGTGCACAGTCAACCTGTGGAACTCCTTGCCAGAGGATGTGGTGAAGGCTAGAACTTTAACAGGGCTCAAAAAAGAATTAAATAGATTCATAGAGATTAGGTCCATCAATGGCTATTAGCCAGGATGGATAGGAATGGTGTCCCTGGCCTCTGTTTCTCTGGAGGTGGGGGATGGGAGAGATCTCAGGAGGATTACCTGTTGTGATCCCTCCCTTTGGGGCATCTGGTATTGGCCACTGTCAGCAGATAAGATACTGGGCTAGATGGACCTTTGGTCTGACCCAGTATGGCTGTTCTTATGACCTGGGTCTAGCAGCTTTGCCTTCACCCTTTTGCTAAAATGTTTATCAGCTACCCCAGCGGTGCACAATCCATGGGTCGCGGCTGCCTTCCCAGGGGGTCGCAGCGTTGTGCTGGCCGCCATTTTGTTTTCCCAGGAGGGGGAGTGGCAGGGGAGCAGACCAGCATTTTAAATAAGGGCCGCAACAAAATGTTCCCTCTCCCTCTTCCCCAGCAAAAAATTTTCCCGGCTTTTTTTTTTTTTTCTTTCCAACAAAAATTTTTCCTGACCCTGAGGGGCGTGAATTAAAAAAGGTTGAGCACCACTGGGCTCCCCACCCTGCTGTATGGGCTATACAAGGCTCCCAGTCCAGCTCACAAGGAGCCGCTTGCTGTCCTGCATTGCTGCTTATGTATCAGAAGTAGCAGCGCAGGGCAGTAGCAAGCTCCCCAGGAGCAGGGTGGCAGGTGGGAGCCATTGCGTGCCAGGAGTCGGTTTAAAATTTTCAGTAGTTACATGATTAATCAGTTACTTGCATTTTAACATTTCCTAATTAGCACTATTAGAATTAAAAACAGATTGACTCTTCATATTTCTAATTTCACATAGAGGGATAATACATGCCCAAAAGATATACAGATTCAGCAGATAGATAGTCTCTCTCTGTATTAAAAAAAGCTTTTCCTCTGAGACGACAGTGACCCTTCCCAGGACCTAAGTGGAGGGCTGGGGATGCCTATGGCCCCAGCCTTCCCCTCCCCATTCCAGCAGCCAGGGGAAAAACTGGGTCTGGTGCGGTTCAGGTCCGGCCCCTCCCAACGGGCTGGGGCAAAAGGCAGGGTTGGCATGGCTTGGGCCCAGCCCTGGCCCATTACATCAGGCCGGGAGGAAAAATAGGCCCGGCCTTTCCCGGCAGGCCGGGGGAAAGACAGGCCTGGTGCATGCTGCAGCCCTGCTTGCCCCCACCCGTGTGGGGTAAGGAGGGAGACAGAGAGCCCGCACGGGCGCGGCAGGGAGAGGGAGGGAGAAGGAAGGCCTGGGCTGGTGTGGCAGGAGAGAGAGAAAGGAGAAGGAGGGCCTGGCTGGTGGGGAAGGTGGGAGCGAGAGAAGGGGAGAGGCACTAGGGGAAGGAGGGACAAGGGGGGCCTGATCTGTTGTGTCAGGGGAGGAGGAAAGGAGAAGGGGGCCTAGGCTGGCACAGCAGGGGAGGGGGGAAAGAGAAGGAGGGGCCTGGGCTGGTGCGGCAGGGGGGAGAAAGGAGAAGCCTGGTGTGGTGTAGTGGGGGGAGTAGGAGGGAGAAGTGGGGCCTGGATTGGTGAAGTTGGGGGGCAGAAGGGTGAAGGGAAGCCCTTGTTAGCACCCCAAGAGAGGGAGAAGGAGTTCTTGCTGGCGCAGGGGAGGGTAAAGGGGCCCAGGCTGGTGCAGCTGCAGCTTGGTCCTCCCTGGTGGCCAGGGGGAGAGCTTGAGGCTGCCTACAGCCCACAAGAGGGGGGTTGGCGAGCATAGCAAGTAAGGGGCACAGCCCCCTAATATCTTTTAAAATGGTATGTTACATTGCCTGTTTTGCATACAGCATCTTCGTTTTATGCATATTCATAAGCCAGTTTTCATAAAGCATGCGGGGTGCTGTGATCGTTGCATCAGTGTAACAAATGAGGGATGCTGGGTGGGAAAGGATAACAGTTTCTGTAATGACATACATTTATTCAGGGCTCAATTGTGTAGAGCAGTGTGCTAGTTGCAAGGCCCCAGAAAACAGATCAGTCATAATCTGCCTTCCAAGTTCCCCCTGCTCCGGTAGTTTGGAGGGGTCTTGTGCAAGCTTGGTTCTGCGTTGATGGCTAGCTCCACCTCCTGCATGGTGCAGATAAGCAGAATGTACCATGTGCACATTCTTGATGGTGCCCTGAAAGTTGTTGTTTTTAAGTTAACACAGTCTAATGTTTTACACATCCCTGCTTTTTAGGAACCTAACCTCCAAGCTGGAAAGGAGTCAGAGTTGCAATGACACCATTCAGGATCGATCAAAGAGCAGGCAGAGATCAGCTCCAGCCAACAGAACAAAGGTACCAGATGTGTTTGGAAATGTGTCACATCCAGTGAGAGAAAGGGTCACATAGAAATGCTGTGACAGTTACAATAATCTAGCTATTAATTCTCTGTCTGTCAAAAAATTGTTGTCAGCAGAGGGGTGCTGTCAAATGTGTATGGCGAATCAATCCCTTATAACTTGCAGCTCATGCTGCCTGCCAGTCCAGCTTTGAATGTTTGCTAGCATCATGTGGGGTTTTCTTTTCAAATCTGGTTCACTGGTTGTTTGAAAAAAAAACACAAATCTCTCAGAAGCTTGAGAGAAACTGTGTCTGTCCCCAAGCTCCTCTTTCACCTCTGTTTTAGAGAAATGTATTTCTTCTGGTGGTGTCCCCCTGGGTGCTTCACGCAAGGTGTTGAGATGTCCTGGAGCCATGGAGCGGAGCTTTTTCAAGCAGTGTCTGCGAGCCGCGCATGCGCAAGAGGAGCCTCGTGCTGTGCTCAGCTTGATGCCTCGCATGCGCAGCTCACCTTTCCCCCCATTAGGTCCTCTTCTCCTGTCTTTGGTCACGGATGGAGCTCTTCGTTCTCCTCGGCTTCTCCTGAGGGAGAGTGAGAAACCCTATGGTTTTGCTTTCCCTATCTCTTTGCTGTATGTTGACACTTTGCTTCATCCTGTTTAAAAAAAAAAAAAAAAAATCTGTCAGCCTCTCACGGAGACCCAGCCGCTCCCATCCCTTAAAAAAAAAAAAAAAAAAAAAAAAGAAAAGAACAATTTTAACAACAGAGCTGTAATGGTCACAGGATCAACCCCTAATAGAACGCTTGCTGCGACCCTGCTGGATGGCGCAATGCTGGGTTCATCTGGCTTTAAGAAATGCCATTCATGCCAGGAGCCGATGCCAGTCTCGGATAAACATGCAGACTATATCCGCTGTCTCGGGGAAGCGCTTGTACCCCAGAAATGCGAGCTCTGCTGTTCTCTCACGGCGAGAGCAAGAAAAGACAGGGAGCTTCGGCTCCGCATGACTTTATTGGACAAGGCAATGCAGCCTGAATGCTCTCAAGCTCTTTACCAGCAGCACAGTCTGCCAGAAAGAGAGCCACCTCACCATTATTGCACGGACGGGCTAAAAGGGGACCATCTCCATCTAAATCCCTGCCCGCCACCCCATCCTCCTGAGTGCCTGGAGGGGACAAGATAAGCACCCCTGGCACTGGGGAATCAAGTGCTCAGACTGGCACCGTGACCTCCAACTCACGCTCAGCCTTGGTACCGGAGAGCTCCTCCTGGCGCTCACGCACACCAGTGCTGGCATTACTAAGGGATGTGGCACTGACACCCGTGCCGCAGACAGTTAAACAGCCCGCTCATAAGGAATGGGCTTTGGACGTGAACCTATCCCTCCCTTGATGCTGCCCCCCCATGGAAGCTCCAGCTCAGTCTCAACATGATGCTGGTGCAGATGGCATAGCACAGCTTTCACCCCTGCGCTCCAGAGGGGCTTCCCTGATGCAGCCCTCCTCAAGGCTCTCTCCACATTATCCCAGATCTCTTGTATTGTCAGAGCAGAATGCTTTTAACGGGGAGGACCAATACAGTGTGTTTTCCTCACCGCACTTGTCCCCACTACATCTCCCCATCCTTACTACTACCATAATAAACCACCACACCTAGGTACTCAGAGTGGCAATACACTCCACCCTGCTACCCGCCTCATTGGGCATCATGGGACCACTGGGGCGTATGGAAAAGACACTATGCCTCATCCTCTATCTCGAGGAGGGGACTGCCTCCACCCTCCCCGTCTCGCACTGTACCAGCCACCGCAGACTCTGACGAAGAGGAGGAAGGTCAACTCTCCAACCAACATACTGAGTTATGCCAGGTGGATTCACCCCTTGACAATGCTTCCTCACATCTCGAAGAGGCAGTAGTACCAGATGATACTCACCCATTGGATGACATACAATTTCAGGAGCTGTTTAAGAGGGTGGCAACAACACAAGAGGCCCACCTCCTGGAAGTAAGGGAGAAACAGCACAGACTCTTGCAAAATGTCCGCCCCGTTTCACAGGGAAGAATTGCACTTCCAATCGACGAAGCAATAATGGAGGTCTCTGATTAAATCTGACAAACCCCTCCTCGATTCAGCCAACAGTAGAATCATAGAATACTAGGACTGGAAGTGACCTCAAGAGGTCATTGAGTCCAGTCCCCGGCCCTCACGGCAGGACCAAGTACTGTCTAGACCATCCCTGATAGACATTTATCTAACCTACTCTTAAATATCTCTACAGATGGAGATTCCACAGCCTCCCTGGGCAATTTATTCCAGTGTTTAACCACCCTGACAGTTAGGAACTTTTTCCTAATGTCCAACCTAAACCTCCCTTGATGCAGTTTAAGCCCATTGCTTCTCGTTCTATCCTCAGAGGCCAGGATGAACAAGTTTTCTCCCTCCTCCTTATGACACCCTTTTAGATATCTGAAAACTGCTATCATGTCCCCCCACAATCTTTTCTTTTCTAAACTAAACAAACCCAGTTCTTTCAGCCTTCCTTCATAGGTCATGTTCTCCAGACCTTTAATCATTCTTGTTGCTCTTCTCTGGACCTTCTCCAATTTCTCCAAATCTTTCTTGAAATGCGGTACCCAGAACTGGACACAATACTCCAACTGAGGCCTAACCAGCGCAGAGTAGAGCGGAAGAATGATTTCTCCTGTCTTGCTCACAACACACCTGTTAATGCATCCCAGAATCATGTTTCCTTTTTTTGCAACAGCATCACACTGTTGACTCATATTTAGCTTGTGATCCACTATAACCCCTACATCCCTTTCTACCATACTTCTTCCTAGACAGTCGCTTCCCATTCTGTATGAGTGAAACTGATTGTTCCTTCCTAAGTGGAGCACTTTGCATTTGTCTTTATTAAACTTCATCCTGTTTACCTCAGACCATTTCTCCAATTTGTCCAGATCACTTTGAATTATGGCCCTATCCTTCAGATTAGTCTCAACCCCTCCCAGCTTGGTATCATCTGCAAACTTAATAAGCATACTTTCAATGTCAATATCTAAATCGTTGATGAAGATATTGAATAGAGTCAGTCCCAAAATAGACCCCTGCAAAACCCCACTTGTTATACCTTTCCAGCAGGATTGAGAACCATTAATAACTATTCTCTGAGTACGGTTATCCAGCCAGCTATGCACCCACCTTATAGTAGCCCTATCTAAGTTGTATTTGCCTAGTTTATTGATAAGAATATCATGCGAGACCGTATCAAATGCCTTACTAAAGTGTATATCACATCCACCGTTTCTCCCTTATCCACAAGACTCGTTATCCTATTAACGAAAGCTATCAGATTGATTTGACATAATTTGTTCTTTACAAATCCATGTTGGCTGTTCCCTGTCATCTTGCCACCTTCCAAGTGTTTGCAGATGATTTCCTTAATTACTTGCTCCATTATCTTCCCTGGCACAGAAGTTAAACTAACGGGTCTGTAGTTTCCTGGGTTGTTCTTATTTCCCTTTTTATAGATGGGCACTATATTTGCCCTTTTCCAGTCTTCTGGAATCTCTCCTGTCTCCCATGATTTTCCAAAGATGATAGCTAGAGGCTCAGATACCTCCTCTATCAGCTCCTTGAGTATTCTAGGATGCATTTCATCAGGCCCTGGTGATTTGCAGCCATCTAACTTTTCTAAGTGATTTTTAACTTGTTCTTTTTTTATTTTATCTTCTAAATCTACTCCCTTCCCACTAGCATTCATATGTTAGGCATTCCTTCATCAGACTTCTCGGTGAAGACCGAGAAAGAGAGACAAAGAAGTCATTAAGCATCTCTCAAAACTTGATGTGGGGGAAGCTGGGTCGCCTCATGCCCCCGCTGGAATTTCTTCACGGCCCCCCAGTTTAGGAATCTATGCACTAGAGGCAAGAGACTGCGGGAACGGCCTGTTTCCAGCCTTCGTGGTTCCCTTGCAAATGGTGCAGAGAAGAGCAGAGTCCCCCCAAAAGGTTATTTAAACATCTCCTGGCTTTTTGGAAAGGGCAGACTCATGGCGGTTGGTGACGGGTTGGCAAGGCTGGTATTCGTCATGCGCGCATCGTCCGTCTGTCTCCTTCCAGCTCCTCCTCCTCCCCTCCCCTCCAGCAACGTGGGAGAATCCGAGCGCTCAGCTGCCAAGCCCGGAATTTCCGGAAAAGCAACGATGCTCTACTGTACAAAACCAGCCGCTATTCCGGAAAAACTATTCTGCTCCCGCTCAGGAAAATGGCGACCGGGGCTCTTTTCCAGAAAACGCGTCTACATTGGCCACAGACGCTTTTCCGGAAAAAGGGCTTTTCCGGAAAAGCAGCCTGCCAATGTAGACGCTCCTTTTCCGGAAAAACTGAAAACGGAATAGTATTCCATTTTAAGCATTTCCGGAAATTCATGCCAGTGTAGACACAGCCCCTTTGAATAAGAGATCCGACAGGAAGTACTTCATACCACCAAAAGACCTATACTTCCTATTCTCACATCCACAGCCTTACTCTTTTGTGATCGATGCTGCCAACAAACATGCAAAAGCCGCCCACACCAAAACAGCGTCCAATGACAAAGAACCAAGAAGTTAGACCTATTTGGGGGAAAAGGTCTTTTGTTTGGCCACTCTTCAATTAAGAATTGCCAACTGCAGCCTTACTGGCAAACTATGACTTTGACAACTATTCCAAGCTGGCTGAGTTGATGGAACACCTCCCTGAATCCAAAAGGCCCATTCTTAGGAGAATCATACATGAGGGACATACGATTGCTCGTACAGCACTCCTTTCCGCAATAGATGTAGTCGACATGGCAGCCAGGGCAACGGCTACAGCTGTAGTGATGAGAAGAGCCTCTTGGCTTCTATCAGCCGTGGTACCCAAAGAACTGCAGTCCAGGGTAGAAGACCTCCCCTTTGATAAGCTCAAGCTTTTTGTGCCTACCACAGACAAAGTCCTATACAGTAGCAAGGACTCCCACACTACCCTCCGTATGCTTGGCATGTATACCTTGCTATACCGTCAAAGGCATTATACCCCATACTACAAAAATAGGGACAGCTACTACAACAGCGTCCACCAAAGACAGTATGACTACAATCACCCTAGACAATGCCCTCAGAGGAGACGTCCACCTCCAACCTGCTCCTCAGGCTCCCAGGCAACAAACCAGAAGATTTGAGGATTTGGTCAGGGGTCTGCCCGACCTCCCACTTCGACCTTTGCCAACAAGCCAGTACCATTTCTTCACCAACAGACTTAATCCCTTTTACCATCAGTGGGATGTCACAACATCAGATCAATGGGTCTTGGAGATCATCTGCACAGGATACACCTTTCCCTTTACGTCGCTTCACCCTGCCCATCCCCCTTCCCTGTCCCTCTTCAGGGACCCCTCTCACGAGATGCTTCTCAGACAGGAAATTAACTGCTTTCTCCCACTTAGGAGCTATAGAGAAGGTTTCCCATGCCTTTCGGGAGAAGAGGATTCTATTCTAAATAATTCCTGAGACACAAGCACACAGGGGGATGGAGACCCATACTAGACCTACGCAAGCTAAACAAATATCTGCAGAAACAACACTTCAGAATGGTAACACTGGCATCAGTTTATACTGGCTTTGGACAAAGGGGACTGGTTCGCAGCGTTCAACCTTCAGGATGCATACTTTCACATCGCTATAAACCCATCACACAGACGATACTGTCGATTTACTGCGGGAGACGACCGCTACCAATACAGAGTCCTCCCATTTGGCCTATCATCAGCACCCAGGGTCTTCTCAAAGGTCCTGGTCATAGTCACAGCCTATATGCGTCAAGAGGGCGGCGTCATCTTCCCATACTTAGATGACTGTCTTATAAAAGGCCAATTTCAGGCAGCTACTGCCGACATGATCTCCAACACCAGGCCTTCTAATAAACAAGCAAAAAATCGACCCTGCTACCCACACAGGGTGTAGAGTTTATTGGGACCCGCCTCGATTCGTTGACAGCCAGAGTTTATCTCCTGCTGCACCGATTTTCAGCACTACACAACCTTGTGACTGTATTATTAGCCACTTCTACCACTGTGGTTCTTACCTGTCTTCAAGTAATGGGCCACATGGCTGCTACTACCTACGTCGTGCAATATGCTCGCCTCCACTTCAGAGCCCTACAGCACTGGCTAGCGGCAGTTTACAGGCCTGGCCTCCACCCCCTGCGCAAACAAGTTGTGCTCCCAAAGAAGGTGCTGGACTCACTTCGTAGACAATTCCCACCAAACTTCTAACAGGCATCCCCTTCCACCAGCCTGAACCATCCCGGCAGATTACCACAGACACCTCCCTTATTGGCTGGGGCACACATCTCCTTCAACACACAATTCAGGGTAGATGGTCAACACACAAGTCCTCACTGTATATCAACCTTCTCGATCTCAGAGCTGTGTGGAATGCCTGCAACCATTTCCTTCCCCTCATCGCCGACCAGACTGTTCACATACTTACTGACAACATGACAACCATGGGCTTCTGGTATCTGACAGCAGTAGCATATACCGCAGCCTGGCCTGTGCTGCTCAGCATTGGCTATCGCTCAGCAGGTGCTCTCAGGGGGTTCGTTCAGTGTTACTTAGCCAGGCGCACCAAGTACCAGCTGTCTTATGTCCACTTCAGAAGGTCCTGCCCAGTCACAGTAAATGTGGGGGGATGCAACGTGCTTTAAAGGGCTTCCTTTCGACTTATCTCCTGTCTTCCCTCCACTCTCTGCTGCATGGAGATGGAGTGTCCCCTGCAGCCATTGGCTGAGCTCTTGCTCCAGAGCTTTCCTCCCTTCTGTCGCATCTTACATATCTCTGAGCCTTTACCTCCCATGATCGAAGAGGAGATCCACTTTTCTTCCACATCTCCCTGTCTGGCCAGAGACGGTCATGAAATCTTCTCCCATCCCTCTTCTGCCTGCATCAGTCTCCCTTAGTGGGACTGTCCACTTTCTGTATTGAATCTTCTCCCCTTCAGCTTCATGCCACACATGGGGAAAAATCATGTTTGGAATCCAGTAATGGTCAGAAGCCTGAGGAACCCTTGGGATAGCCATTGTGTGTGGTGGGGGGGAGGGGGAGAATCCTGTTTGCAAGATGGTGAGATCCTCAATAGGTCCTGCTCAGATGATGTGAATAGTCTGACAAGATGCAAAGTACCTTAGACCTTTCTGGGGTCATTGTCAGGGGTCTCTTAAATGACCTAATCTGACTTACATTGAAGTTGATGTTGGTTGGATCAGGTCCAGAATGAGGCACTGTAAAGGGAATCTGCCTTCCAGCCTCACAAATCTTCAAGTAGTGTGTGAGTGGACCTGCCTGAAAAACAAATACTGCCCTCAAAGGACGTTCCACAGCCTGTGTGAACTCCAGAGACATAAGCTTGTTAAGTTCACCTCTCTTAAGCTGATCAGAGAAAGGCCGTTCCAAGGCCAGGGACTAATCACCACACACAATCATCTGGACTTTGAAAAGGAAAAACGTCACTTGCATTTGCATGTATGTAGTTTTTACTTGGCATTATTGGTAGTTGTACACCCTCCTACTTCGAAACCCGACATTGTTAGAAACGGCTCTGAACATGACTGGCTATACTGCTGTTAAGCAGTGTCTGCTGCCAGCTCCATTGTTGCTTAATCACTAGCAAACTGGAAAGCACACTCTGTTCTGATAGAGCAAAGGAGGATTTGTTTAATGAACCCATTCAGTGTCACCTGAGCAGCCTTTTCTCTTTGCTTTTTGCAATAAATGTGTTAAACCCTGGAGCAAGCATTTAGTAAAAATCAGTTGACAAGAAAATGTCTGAGTTGACTTGCTATAAACAGTGTACCCCTGGCAGGACAGACCTGCTGCTAGTATGTCATAGCGTCATAGATTCCAAGGTCAGAAAGGGACCATTGTTATCATCTGTGGTTCCCAACCTGTGGTCCAATGTGTGCAATGGTACTGTAGGGGGCCCGCGGAAAGTTTAAAAGTAAGAATCGAGCCCACTGTGGGACTGGGACTTTCCGCCAGGCAATTCTTGCCCCGAGCTCGCCATTTGCGGCATCTATCCTCTCGCCACCAGCTGCACTGCCATTTACGCTCCAGTCCCCTCCTCCTGCCCAGTCCCACAGTGGGCCTGATCCTTATTTTTCTTTTCCTTTTCTTTTTTTTCTCCCCCAGGGCTTTGTGCCCGGCCAAGGGCAGAGTGCCGGGGCAGGAGCTGCCTTTGGCCACAAGAGCCCCCTCGCCGTATTGTCCTTGGATGGGCAGGGGACGAAGGGGGTGGGAGCTGAGGAAGCAGCGCAGGCCAAGGGACATGCTCTCTACCGCTTCCCACTGCTCCCCTTGACCCAGAACTGCGAAAGGCAGGGACTGGGAGCTGATAGGCTCCAAGCCTGCAGATGCTCCACGTGGATAAAAAGTCCCAGCATGCCAGCGATTTGCCCTGCTGGGCTGGGAAGTGACCCTGGGAAGTGCTGCGGACTCTGCTGTACTCTGCTGGGACATTTGTTTGCTTGCAGGCACAGAGCCTCTCCACTCCCATTGGCTGCGAACAGGAGCCAGTGGGAGCTGAGAAGCTTCGTGCCCTGAAGTCTGCAGGTCCCTCAGCCCATGCCGAAGCTGACAAGCTGCGACTGTCCTCAGGAGTCGGCTTATAAACGGGTCAGTCACTTTTTTACCATTTTTTCTCTTTTTTGAAACGATCACGTTACGTGAATACATCACCCCGCTCTAACCGTTCAAAAGCTATTAGAGTGGCTGGAAAGGTTTAGTGGGGCCTCTAGCAAAAATGAGTGCGTGAGCCAATAACATTTTATTCAATAAAAATATATGGCACCTCAAAGTTGTTACATTTCAATGTGGACACTCTCTCTCAATACTACTATATTTGTTTAGACAACATGAACTATTCTACGTTTCAAACGATTTGCAAGTAAGGGAATGTTTGGAAACAGCTATATTGTTTGGGGAGGGGGCGGTCTGTAAAATGTTAATAGATTGAAAAGGGGTCCATATGCTCAAAAAGGTTGGGAACCACTGATCTAGCCTGACCCCCTGTGTAACACAACCATAGGACTGCCCCTTCCCCAAAGTCATAGTGCTGATCACTTAGCAAAACATCCAACATTGATTTTAAAATTGCTGATGATGGAAAATTCCTCACACTCTGTTTTCCTTGAGTTAGGCTACTTCTGTGGTTATCAGTCTCTATTTGTTCCTGTGCTTTGAGCTTTTGCCGCCACTTTAGCTGGCCACTCTCCATTCCTCTGATGTCCCTTTGGGACCCAGGCTCTGCTGGATACTGGCGCACCCTGATGTATAGACCATTTAATATGCTCTAACCAGCTGTGGTCACTTCATCTGCCCCAACCAGCATTCTTACCAGTCTGACTTGCTGCAGACGGTAGAGCACCTCAGTCTTCATTCCAGACTTGAATGTGCAAAGCTGAATGGAAAGCGGGCAAGATTCAGGGCCTACCCTGGAGGCTGGCTTGGTGGTCATTATTAACATGGTGAGATGAGGAAATCGCTGGGCAGAGAGCAAGAAGGAGGCTGAGGCTACTGATTGGTATAGCAGACTTCTTGGCCTGATAAACAGGTACAGATGCCTAAAAGATTAGAAACTACTGGTTTAGTTAACTGTTTAAGTGATCTACAGAATTTACTATTCTACAGATTAATCTATTTGACTCTTACTTTGAGGCTTCTTTTTAGATCACCGTAATGACAAACTGTCTAAACATGATGACTTGTCTTACAGGTTACATCTGTGACCAGTACATTGACTCCCATCGTTGGAGTTTTGTCATCCACCCAAAACAATCGCTGCCTCTCTGCCCCAGATTTAACAGCAGAAAAGCGTTTGGTTTTCAACTCCATTTCATCACTTTCCATCCTGCACAAACCAGAGCGGTCCATCAGCCCTGAGAGCAATGACAGTATCTCAGAAGAGCTCAATCATTTCAAACCTATTGTCTGTTCCCCATGCACTCCTCCAAAAAGGCTTCCCGATGGCAAAGTCTTGAGTCCTTTGATTATAAAATCTACTCCAAGGAACCTGAACCGAAGCCTGCAGAAACCAACCACCTATGAAGCTAGTCCCAGAATCCTGAAAAAATGGGAGCAAATATTTCAGGAGCGCCAGATTAAAAAGACTCTCTCTAAAGCTACCCTTACATCTCTGGCTTCAGAGACAGGAGAGGACTTTCTGGTTCCTGACATTGCTAACTCCAATAAAGAGCAGCCACGAATGTTAAGTGATCAAATTCCACCGGATACTGTGGCACACCCAAACACAGAATTTGATTATTTCCCTTCTGTCAGTGAAATACAGCTCGAAAGGACTGGTAACAAGAAAACTGGTTCACGGGTCTTAACAATGGATGCCAATTCCTCTGAACTAGATACAAGATCAAATGGAACCTCTCTGAATACTCAAGTTTCAGATGTGTCTGACGTAAAAACAAATTCATATCTGGACAAATCTTGTCTTAGCATTGGGACAAAAATAATGACCAGAAGAATAATTGGAGTCAACCCAGCACTGCCTGGGAACAGTGTACTAGGAGTCTCGGTCAAGACAGCAGGGAAAAAGCAGCTTAAGTACCTGAACAATAGTGAACTGCTCAATGTACAAAATGGTACCTGCAGTTCTGTTGAAAATGTCCTTGGTGAACAGCCCCCTTCACTGAGACGGGGAAGAAAAAGGCACTGTAAAACAAAGCACTTGGAACAGAATGGTTCGGTTAAAAGACTGAAACAGACAGCTGGCGAGATGGGCTTGGCCACGGACGATCTTCTTGTGAGGGAGATGGAACAGAAGCTGCAGCAGGAGGAGGAAGACAGGAGGCTGGCCTTACAGCTGCAGCGAATTTTTGACAGTGAAAATAGGACAGTGGATAGGCGGAAAGGAAGAGTAGATCAGTATCTCTTGCGGTCAAAGAGCACTACAGGTGCAAAGTAGCACTTATGAACAATGTTGCCTTTTGTAGAGGACAAGAGGTTTATGAAAATATTCTATAGGAAGAACTATTTTCTTGTCATACTTCCACCCACGGGTTTGTTTGTTTTTCTTTTTGATGGTAAGACATTTTAGATCCAGTTCATGCTGAAGCCAGGGTCCTTGCAGGTTAAAAACAAAAATTTTCCTGTCCCATTTTCTCCATCAGTCAGAAAGACAGTTGATCCTTACCATGTGTATTTGAAATGTGTTTAAACACGGTGACATTTCTGAGTTAAATGCTGGTGGTGGTAAGGCAATTCAATACCTAGAGTACGTGAGCCCAATGATAAGGACCTTGTAAATCCAGTGTCTGGCCTGCTGATTCATGTCAGACAGAAATTAGGGCTTGAAAACACATTTACAGCAGTCTAGGCTGTTTCTTTCCAACACCCAAATCCTGTGCTCATTTCACTCTTTTCCTTTTGCTGTAGCCAGATACCATGAATGGATCATAAGCCATACCATAGTGATGGAAACTCCCTGGTTTGTCGTAATCTTATAACAGTGGGACACCATAAGAATGAGGCAATGAGTCATACTTTTTGTCCTAGCAAATAAGGAGCAAATAGATACACCAGTAGTGGCTATGATTCAGTTACATGCCTTCAGGGGCACAAAAAATGAAAACCATTAGACCAAGTAGATTAGAGGTTATTTTAAAGTGGCCAGATGAAATGTGGGAAATGTGCAAATTAAGGATTTTACAGGAAATACATTGCTGACACCTAGTTCATAGATGTTGGGGGTATCGCAGAAATGTAGCTATAAGGAAAAGGTAACATGAATACTTGCCACCCACTCTCTTTGGGTGGCATCTAGTCACCGCCTTCCTCCAGTCTGAGACAGTAGTTGGGTTAGTGGAATGAAGATTAAACGAATAAATATGGTTTTACTCATCTTAGACATTTCGGAAGAGAAGCATCAGTAATAGGCACCCAACTGAATCCATTTGACATTGGCTGCTGGGGAGCCTTCTGTAGTCCTCATTCCCGTGGCATATATCAGCCCCTGTCGGGCTGGGGAATGTATGCACTGCAGCACTAGTCATACACGTAGCCCTTACTGTGCTATTTGCTCAGAGGCTTCAAAGCATTTTGTAGCAGTAAGTATCCGTTGCCTTCACTTTATAGAGGTGTAAACTGAGGCACGATGCTTAACGTTTTCAAAAGCGGCTGGTGATTCTGGGCACCTCCAATTCCGGCTGAAGTCATTGGGAGCTGTGGCTGCTCAGCACTTTTAAAACAATTCGCCCTAAATCTCCCCAGCAGAGTTTTCAAAAATCAGTGGCATCCGGGTATTTGATACTTCAGCCGATCAACTTGCCCAGAGTCACTGGTGGAGAGCCCTGGACTCTTGGCTAGTCCAGTGCCCTATCCAGTGAAGAAAGTGCTCTTTACTTCACATGGGACCATCACACAAAGCTCTTTCAAAGTGAGAATTCCCACAAGGCAAAGCTTTCACTGTTGAGCTTAATGCCACAGTCTGGCCCAAATAACTCTCATGTTTTAAGCAGTCTTTTTTCAAGCAGTTACACATTTACATGCGGGGGTAAGGCAGCTCTGCAGGAGCTGGTGCACGCAGGGAGCCAGCTTTTAAGCTGGGTCCCCACAAGCACTGGCTCCCATGGAGCCACCTCCCCTGCAAGCTGCTACGCTGCAGTGTGGGTTGGGGAGGGGCTTGTGAGTAACCGTGAAGGTTAATCAATGAGCCTCATTGGTTAACTGTTTAAGCTTTTAAAATGTCCCATCCCTAGAGTGGATGTCTTGGACTAATTACAAGGAGTATAGCTCAATCCAGTTAGGTAAGTTAAATGTCCATGTGTGTGTGCATGCGTCCTTCCCAGAGGACCTCTGTTTTGTCCTCATAGTTGTATCCCCGAGTAAAATAATTTTCTGGATTACCACCAGTACAGGACTCAGAAATGTCAGACTCTCCACTTGGAATCCTGACTTTCCAGACAATGGATCCTCTGTTCTTTCAGTGGAACTTTGTTCCCCCTCAGAAACATGAGTCTGCCGATTACTTTCTTGCTGCCTTCATACCAGGTGACAGTGGCGTTTTAAAGAGCTGCCTGGCACACTGCACCAGCAGTACACCAAGCAGGCGGCTAACCTCATCTCTGGCCTGTGGCATGCAGTACACAAAATGAGGTTGACGTAAAAGGAGTTTAATTGTTCATCTATTAACCTTTCATGCCATGTCTTTTGCTCTCTCCTTCCATCTTAAATGATGGAGAGTGGCTGGCCTGCCTGGCAACAAATTGGTTTGGTCTCCCTCTTGTCACTTATTCACATAACTACAAGGACCCTGAAGTTTTTTACTGCTTTAAACTGGATTTTTTTTAAAAAAAGAAATCTTATATTTTAATGGATAAAATTTATATATTTTAAATACTATATTTCAACAGATCGACACTTTCATTTTGAGAAATCTTGTAGTAAGGATAACGTAATATATATCTCTTATTAACACACACAAAAACTACTGGCTATTAAACTAATATGTGAAGCCAGGAAGTTGATGCTGGCGTTCTGCACTCTCTTAGATCTGGACTGCTATGCCTAACTGTTGTAGCTCCTGGGTTGTGTATCATTGTATCCTCTTTGCAGAGGAAATTCTGTCCTCAGTTACATTCTTGCAGCCTCTCTGGGTCAAATGCACAGCTGATTTAAGTAGGTAGAGCACCAGTGACTTGAACTGCATTGCACTCACTTAAGCCAGCAGTGAATTTGAAGGAAACTGGCAAGTCTTTGACTTGATTGAAGTTAGAGGGTTTCCATGGGTGACCGTAACTGAGGATTGAATGTGGTCTCATCAATACCTGCGAACAGCAGAGTATGGCAAGGATGAAACAGCAGTCTTTTACCCTGAATTACCTTTATTTTTGTTCCAAGTGAAAACTTTTTACGCTAGTCAAGTGTATTGACTTTTTTCCCAATCTCTCTTGCGAGGCACCTCCTCGTTCCCGTGCAAGTGAATGCCTTGAAACTGGCTTCCTTATTCAAAGTTAGTGAACATTGTGCCCATGTTGGCTTGTTCTAAGGCGGAGCTGCTGTTTTCTTAAAACAGAAGAGCTTTTGAGAAACTTGCATTATGTAGGTTTCACAAGCTGAATGTATCTTTTCTTAGAATGAGATTTCAAGTTCTGCCCCCCTAGGCCAGTGCCCCTTTTTGTTTCTGTTTTAAGACCCCTTAATCACTTGGGCTATTGTGTGTTAATTTCAAGTGTTAACTTCCTTTTTTATTTTAAATCTGAGTCTCAAATGGAAGTGCAGGAGCCATTGCTTCAGTTGGCATGGTTCCTCAAATCAGCAGAGCTGGGTAGAAAAGAATCATGCTTGAATGTCTGTTACATATGTTATCTATGGGCTCTTCTCACAAAGGGCCCTACTCTGCAAACTGTTAGATGATTAATCCAAGGCCCTGATCCCATTGACATTAATGCAAAACTCTCATTGATTCAGTGGGTGCAGGTCTGGGCACAATTGAAAAACCCGTATATGGTATGATCCATAGCATCAGTATTTATTTAATGAGGCCTTTGATTTTGGGATCCTCGTGTGGAATAACTGGATCCTAAAAATCTGTCACTTTTTTTAATGAAACATTACTGCTTGTATGCAGTAGTATTTTTAAATAGTGTGGCAGGGTTGGTTTTTGTATTTCAAAGGGGTACTTGTCCACAAAATATTGTCTAAAGGATTTACCCGTTAATTTTAGCCTTTCTTAAAGAAAACTACAGTTTATAATTTTATTCTCTGTCTGGTTGCTTAAAGATCACACAGCGTTTCCACTTTGCTAGAATAGGCACAATCCTACTCCCTTTGAAGTGAGCAAGAGCAGGATCGAGCCCCTATGACCTGGTCCAAAGTCCATTGATGTCAGTGGAAATCTTTCCATTAATCTACTGTGCTTTGGATTAGACACAGAATTTGTCTCTGTGCATCTCTGTGTGCATTTGGCTTGGGAGGCTGAAGACTCAAGAGCTGATTGGTAGATGAGATCTGTTGGAATGTTTTACTACTTTACCATGAGCAGTGCTTTTATTATTTACTAGAAATGCTTGGGTAAAAAATAGGGTGCTGTATACAACTTGCACTTCAAACAGCAGAAGTTCCCAACTTCTCAGGCATTCAGAGGTCAAAGTGACACTTCCTTTGTAGCTACTAATGCCATGTGAGAAGTAGCAGTAACACAGCGCTGGTGGAGACACTAGAACGATGAATGGAGTCAAAGACCTTCACACTTATGGAGACACTAAAACAAAACAAAATTTTTTTTTTAAAAAAAATCTCTATTTTGGCAATTATTTTGCATCCTACTCCTCTCTGATCTAACGTTCTCTAAGGAATGGAACCTAATCCCTGCTGTTTGCATGAAGGTGAAGACAGGTACAAATTCTTCCAAGGTTCAAGTCTCACTTTTACTGCCAACTGTAAGATAAAATGGGGCTCAGCTGTGGGGGCCCTGTTGCTGGTTAAGTAATTGCGCTGCTTGTTGCACTTCCCTGTGACCAGAAGGGCTGGGGTTAGGTGTTTCATTTAGTAGGTGAATGACTGAATCTGCCAAAGATGCCACAGGACTCTAAACCAACTCTGACTCTATGTAGATTTTTTTACATGGAAAAAGGGTGTATTAAGATTTTTTGGGGGGGCCAGTGATGACAAACATCAGGAAACAAATGAAGGAAAAGTGCCAAAAGAATGGATTGTGCACAAGATGATTGTATAACACTGTCCTATATTGTCAGTATTTTTTCTTCAGGTGGTATTGTATGTGCAGTATGGATTAGTCTTGAAGTACCACTTAAACAAGTGCTTCTTTATATTTTGTCAATGAAAGCAAAGGGAGATAGAAGCCTTAAAGACTATAATTGATAATAAAACCAGGCCTTTAGCCATGTATCAAGGAGCTAGCCCCTCTGCTGGACTTCCAGGACCTCTTTGCCAGCTCATAGTTTTCAAGTGCAAGGTTGATAAGGAGCTAGTCCTGTACAGTGGGGAAATACTTCATCAGAGCCCATCCTTTTCTATTAGAGCTGCAAACTAAAGACCATTCCTTGTTCAACTTTTGCATGTGGACATGAAGGTCCAGAGAGTCACTGCTCTGTCTGAGATCGTTACAAAGAGCTCAGAACTGTGCCATGTCCATTGATTGAACTCCAGCTCAGAATCTGGAACAATTTCTCTTCATGTTGCATTTGAGTTTGATGCAAACTTTTTTCCCCTGTGTTTTTAAAACACGGCAGTGCATCAAACAGATATCGAATTAGCAATTCACTATGCAAAGAAAAAACCTTTAAGTGATGGGATCATGCATATGCCTGGTTACCTGGTGTTTACTGTCTTAACTGTTTAAAACAAATATAGATGTTGTTACATTTTTTCCAATATGCTTTAAATTATTGTGCTTTGGTGTATCCTCAACTTGCTACTCAAAAACCAGTATCGTAAAAGACAAAAGGTCATCTAGGGTCTCGGCTGAACCACTGTGGCTTCATCAGAACATTATAAATCACACCAGAGTGTACTGAAAGCTTATTTACTTGCATGTGTATAATGTGTGGGTAAAATAACATGTGGGGATATGGTTCTATCATACTGTGGCTTCTGTTATTTCAAGTGGAGTGAAAAATCCCCAGACTACAATTGTGTGAATCATACATCTTGTACATTTTAACAACGAAGAAGAGGGCTCTAATTCCAGGACAAAGGCACAAGTGAAATAGAATAAAACAAAGTTCTTGTAGTGAATTACCTGGTTTTTTCTGAAGTTGCTATACATGAACACTAGCAAGCCTGTCCCTGTGTCTAATCTAACCTGTCACAGCTCCTGCTTAAATAAGTTTGCTAGTGAATGGTATGCAAGAAAGCAGCTGCTGAAACTTCATTTGCTGTAACAACTTCATATACCAAAGTAACCAGTGCACAAGGAAATACTCGGACTGAGGTTGGTAAGTGGCCAATGGGAGCGCTAACGGTGAGGGGACAAGAATTGGGCCGATTGAGTGTCATAAGTCCAAACAGCAAAGGCCGTGTCTAGACTAGCCAGTTTTTCTGCAAAATCAGCTGCTTTTGCGGAAAAACTTGCCAGCTGTCTACACTGGCCGCTTGAATTTCTGCAAGAACACTGACGATCTAATGTAAGATTGTCAGTGTTCTTGCAGAAGTACTATGCAGCTCCCGTTCGGGAAAAAGCCCTCTTGCGCAAATCATTTGCGCAAAAGGGCCAGTGTAGACAGCACAGTACTGTTTTGTGCAAAAAAGCCCCGATGGCTAAAATGGCAATCAGGGTTTTTTTGCGCAAAAGTGCGTCTAGATCGGCACAGACGCTTTTCCGCAAAAAGTGCTTTTGCGGAAAAGCGTCCGTACCAATTTAGACGCTCAACGGAAAACTTTTCTGTTAAAAGCATTTCTGGAAAATCATGCCAATCTAGACGTAGCCCAAAGAGTTTTACCTGTGTATGTTAAGCCCCCTCCCTGTGTGAAGAGTTGAACCACTGAAAGACACTGTAGACTAGCCTTCCACATAGCACAGGGTCTGCGTTTTCCAGTCCTACGCTGCTCCCATTACAGTCAGTGGGAGCAGAGACAGGCAATATACGTGAGAACCAGAACCGTTGCGTGCAGTCACGGAGAACTTCACAGTGGTGAAAAGAGACCAGAAGCCAGGCTTGGCCAAGCTCCTATGGCTCAGCATTAGTCCTGTACAGGAGCAAACCCTGGCTGCACAAATGAGATTGGCAGGAGGGGTTTGGAGTTGCTCTTGCAACACTTAGCCTAAGGTATGTAGATTATAGAGTCCAAGGTCAGAACAGATCCTTGGATTGTCTGGGCTGATCTGCTTAACACAGGCTACAGATTTTCAGACAGTTACCCCTAGCTTGAGTCCTGTAATTTGTTACTAAAGTGACTCAGACGCACACTCACAGGCTGAAGGGGGGCATGCTACATGTGATGCTTCTCTGTGCTAGATGGAAAGAGCCCTTAGCTGCTGTTTTCTCTGAAGTCCCCTCCTTTCTGCTAATGCAAACACACTGGCTACGTCTACAACTGGGGCATTCTCACGCAAAAACTCTTTTGCGAAAGAGTTCTGCAAAAACTCTTCCAGAAGAGAGCATCTACACTGGGATGTGCTTTTGCACAAGAGCATCCATGACAGTGTAGACGCTCTCTTGCGCAAGAAAGCTCTGATGGCCATTTTAACCATAGGGCTTTCTTGCTCGAGAAATTCATCTTGCCTGTCTACATTGGCCTCTTGCGCAAGAACAGTTGCGCAAAAGGGCTTATTCCTGAGCGGGAGCATCAGAGTTCTGACGCAAGAAGCCCTGATTTCATACATTAGAACATCTGTTTACTTGAGCAAGAACATGTAGCCAGTGTAGACAGGCAGCAAGTTTTTTCGCAAGAGCGGCCGCTTTTGCACAAGATCGTGCCAGAGTAGACACAGCCATTGGCTACGTCTAGACTGGCATGATTTTCCGCAAATGCTTTTAACGGAAAAGTTTTCCGTTAAAAGCATTTGCGGAAAAGAGCGTCCAGATTGGCACGGACGCTTTTCCGCAAAAAGTGCTTTTGCGGAAAAGCATCCGTGCCAATCTAGACGCACTTTTGCGCAAAAAAACCCCCGATCACCATTTTCGCGACTGGGGCTTTTTTGCGCAAAACAAAACTGAGCTGTCTACACTGGCCCTTTTGCGCAAAAGGACTTTTGCCCAAACAGGAGCAGCATAGTATTCCCGCAAGAAGCACTAATTTCAGACAGTAGGAAGTCAGTGTTCTTGCGGAAATTCAAGTGGCCAGTGTAGACAGCTGGCAAGTTTTTCCAAAAAAGCAGGTACTTTTGCAGAAAAACTTGCCGGTCTAGACACAGCCATTGTGTTTTCAGTCTCTCACACCTATGCCTCAGCTCCATTTTCAATGGCTCCTTTAAAATGGGGCCACCAGCCCTGGCTGCAGCCTTGCCATCTCAGCTGGTCAAGCAGAAATAGCATCTTCCCCTTCCATGGGGTTTATGCTCTTCCCAGGCTGCACATATCGAGCATTATCACAGGGGCCCTGCCAAATTCAGGGTTCAGCTTGGTCAATTTCAGAGTCATTGGGTTTTAAAAATTGTAGATTTCATTTCAGCTGCTCGAATCTGAAGTTTCTCAGTGCTGTAATGGGAGGGGGTCCTGACCCAATAAGGACTTGTGGGGGGAGGAAGGAGGTTGCAGCACTACTACCCTTCTGGGCTGCTACTAGCCCCAGGCACCCAGAAGAATTAATTCAGCCCTGGGAGGGAAGGGTGGGGTGATTCCCAAGGCTGGGGAAGTCCTGAGCCTCAGCACATGCTGCCCCCTCACGGGGCCAAAACATTAGGGGACCCCTGACACCAAGAGCTGCATGAATGAAGTGTCTGTTTTTTTCCTACTTCTCAGTTGAGGCGCCACATACTTAAGGGGTTTTTTCCCTCCTCATTTGAGGGCCATGTCAGTGAGGGGTTTTTTTTTGCTTCTCACTTGTGTGGCCCCAATTAATTTTTCTGTGGTCAGCAGTCCCGACCCAAAAAATGTTCCCTGCTCCTGGACTAGAGCAACTGACTAACAACTCAGCCACTAAAGCAATGGTTGAAACTCCAAGATTGACATGGGTGCTCCTTGGCCCTGCCACTGCACCTCTGGAGGGGTGGGCCTTTAATTTTAAATACAATGGGTGGCATTAATGAAGCCCATGCCCTGTTTTCGTAACTCCATTCTGAGCCATGTGGAACTGTTTCAAGTTACTTTGGGCTACTGCTGTCCTCCAAGCCAGGTGACCTCAGCAGCACTTGCACGTTAGCAGCAAAGGGTTAGCTGCTATTTTAAAAGCTGGATTATAAATGAGCTTCTAGGAGTCAGCTGAGACACTGCACTGGCCTTAGAAAGGAAGTGTATAAGCATCACACCTTCCACAAACTCAGATCCCTAGCTGCTTTGGGAAACCCACCTCTGTGACACACGACCAATGATTGGTGGGTTATGCTACAGGTATGACCCATGAAATATGCCGAAATGCATGCTCTGCTGTATAACACTTTGCTCTAAAAATGTGGTTTAGTATTTTAGTCTTCAGTTCTTAGCTATTTGTGGCTCTGAGTGATTCAGGTACGTGGGGAGGAATCCTCACCTTGCTTAGTCTGTTAGAAATACAAGTACTAGGTCCAGAATCCAGGGGGCCTGGGTATTCTAAGGTACGGGGAGCATGGGTAGAGAACGCCTTGCCCAGGCATAGTTACTTAACACTCTGGTAAGATGAGCTGAAGATTGGATGGCAACACATGTAAAACCAGCTCCATTTTCTGCCCTCCCCACTGGTTTCACCACTTTATAAAGGGCACCCCTCCCCCATACTGTCCACACTGAGCAGTCACAGGCCTACGTCCAGGGCTCAGGCACCTGTGTGATTAAAGGGTTTGTGCCACACTTGCCCCCGTCAATCCTTGCAGCATGACAGGTGCCTGCACACCTGCAAGTGTTAGCCAGCTGGATTGCTTATTTCAGAACAACCATGTGAGGGCAGCAAAGGCCTGGCAGCAGCCTGGCAGTAACTGACCCCGTTTTGCAAGCTGTGTGTTGGTTTCACTGACTGCAGCTGTCACACTGTGGACTCAACTGAACACAATTTTACGAGCCCCTGCAGAGGGCGTGTTGCACACAAACGTGACTCTGCTGCATGTTCAACCCTCACTACCAAGTGTGCATTAAGCGTGTTATAAAACTAGCTCCAAAAATATCTCTAGAAAGCAAACGCTGGGAAGTGCCTGTTCTGCCCAGCAGGGTTTATAAAGCAAATGTTACTATGCTCCTCCTGGGAGATGATCTTGTCTCCGGCGGGCAATGCAGGAGGCTCAGGTTCTCCTTTGTGTCCTCAGGCAGTGAGACTTGTTTACTTTCCTTGAGTTCCACAAAAGGTTCCTGAGGGAAGCTTTGACCCAGCTCCGGGATAGCCCCACGCTCCTTGCAGATCCCCTTGCTGGAAGCTGCCAGAGCAGCCTTGTACTGCTTGTGGAATTCCTTCATCAGCCCGAGTGCCTCCTGGTACGCCTTCCGGTTGGATCGCTTCTGGCGCAGAACAGACACTAGGGAAGAGCAGACTCATGAGCTCACTGTGCTCCCCCCGGAAGCAGTGTTTTAAAGTCTGCAACTTGGATCTTTACTGCTTTCCTCCCCCCTCGGGTTGGGTCTGGTCCTAGGCTCTGAACTCAGCCGCTACTCCTACGATAACAACCCCTGTAAGTATCAGGCCCACATAGTACAACTGGCTTAGTCCATAGATAGCTGGACATCACTCAGCTACCTAGTCTAATGCACGAAACTACGTCCACATGGGAGCACGTCTTCCAGTATTAGAGTCGGATGTGTTGGCAGCACAAAGTGGAGTTTTGGCTGGAAGGTTCTGCTCTGGAGCTAGAGAGATTTAAATGACCTGGCTATTGGATTGGGTCCCGGCCTTCTTGAATTCAAATCCCAACGCGTGTGGCCTTGGACAAGTCACTGACCTCTGCCTGTTTCCCTCGTCTGGCACCTGGTGTGACTGCAGCGCCAGTGAGGGTGACAGATAATTACAGGCCTTGGTGGCCCCTATTCTACGCATTATTCTGTTATGAAACCTGAAACCCCGGACGTTAGAACGGCAATTTTAGCACATGTGCCTCTGCCCTGTTTGTGTTCTGGCTCACCTCCAAGGTGAGTGAAGTGCTCTGTTGGCCCAGCAGTTACTCGCTGGTCACTTTTCCACGTTGGGAAGCCATTTTCCCATTTAGTTTGAGGAAAAAATGCCGACAGAGCCCAATTCACGATGAGTTCCTAGTTCCCCAGCCTCCAAGACAGTAAGGAGGACTGAGCACACCCTGGCTGTAGCGGGTCTGAGTCTGTAACATGCTGTCAGCGTCTACAGGCTACTCTGCATGGCCCAGCGGAATGGGGAAACTGATCCATAGAGCTGTCACATTTCCAAGGTGACCTGTAAGTCACTGTCAGAAAATCAGAGGTGGAACGAAGGTAACTTAACTTCCAAATCCATTACCCTTCGTCACAGAAATTTAATCTCAAATACGTCACCATGCAGATGTTTCCAAACTCTGTGCAGGTCTGTCCTACCACAGTCTTGGCATGCAGGGAACTGTACTCAGAAATGCAGAGGGAAAATACCTAGTGGAACTTCAGTGATGTTCATGTTGCCTCTCATGGCTAGGAGGACGTCTTCCAGCACCTCGACTTTAGTCTTTCGAGATGGAGAGCCAGGTGGCTTCCCCAGCTACGAGGAAAGCAGACCAGGATGAGCAGGTATGAGAGTCAACGTCCCTACACACTTTCCACTATCCTGCTACCCTGTCAGGCAAGCTGCGCTTTCACTGGAAACGTGACCTAGCCATGCACGAGGCAACACTGGTCACCGACATGTCTCAGGTGGGCCCATCTTAGTGATACCAGCATCTACATAATGCCCATGGTTTCCAGCTGCCCTTCATACCGAATACGCTGTGTGAAGTGCAGTTCAGAGCAGCGTGGCTCTTACTTAATACTAGGGCAAGGTACAAGTTTACTCCATAGCATCCACCCGTCCTGGTGGGCGACAGTCAACACTCTGGCGATGGACAGTTCCTCATTCAACCACAGACCAACGGCTGCCAACCGTCCTGGTGCCCAGGTACCAGGAGTGAGCTCTCCTAGCCCATGCCCAGCAGTTCTCATTCAGACTGCATGCCACACACCACAACTAAGCATGGCAACGGAGAGGTGGGGGCTGCAGCATGCCATGACCCAGGGTGGAGAGCAAACATACCCAACAGAACGGAGGAGCAACAGGCTGGGGCCTGGAACAGAAACTGTTCATGAAGGCCTGAGGGAAGTTGATTGCACTTGTCAGACCACACAACACTTAGACTAGAAGGTATCCAAGAGCATCGGGCCAAAACTTTGGAGCTGGACATGACAACAGGTTAAGGATTTAATAAGAGATGGAGCAGGGATACAAAATTCTAATCCGGATCTGACCGGGGGACATTCAGATCCCTGGCTTTGATTGGAGTCCATTATCAAGTTCTGAGCCAAATGTCTAGGTTTGGCAGGGGTTGGAGCCAAAGTTTTGGCTTGGACCCACTTCCAGATACCGAGAGGGAGCAAACCCAATTGTTCTACCTTCTTTTTTCTGGGCACGTACGGCTTCTGCACACTGTCCAGTCTTGCCTTGGAGTCCCGATACACAAGGGGCTGTTTCAGAGCACGCCTCAGAGCCTGGACATTTTGCTGCATGCCTGGGAGCAAAGGAAAGAGGGATGGAGGCCTGATGAAACCTCCTGCATGGCTTAGCACTTCCAGACCTCTTCAGAGAGCTCTCCCACATGAATCAAATGAGCAACCATCTGGCTGCTTTCATGCCAAAGCCTCCCACTGTGATTAACCAATGGGTCTTCAAACCAAGTACCCGAGACATTGCAGGACTATACATCTCGCTCAGCACGAAACGTCCTTCTGAGTAGGTGTGACGCAGTGGGGGTGCTGTCTACTTTTGTAATCCTATGTTCGCTCTGGCATTGCATTCACCATTTGTCTTATGGGGTTATATGTGCTCCTACTGTCCTATGCTGCTCTGCAGTGTGTGTGCCTCAGTTTCCCCAGGCTCTGTAGCACTAGGTGCAGGAGGGGGAGGCTGGGTGTGACTCACTGGGGAAGTATGTGCCATCTCACACATCCTGAGGCCCAGGGGACAGCACACAGCACCTTGGGCATGGAAGGAGGACAGTGGAGGAGGCGGGGCTGCCTGGGGCGAGTGAGCAGTGGCTGTGGGGGTGAGGCAGTCTTGGCTGGGTAGAATGAGGAAGGCAGACTGGGAGCAGGAAAGGAGGGTTCAGGGCCCATGAGCCTTAAGGCTGCCTACCCTAGCTCCTAGTCTAACATTGATCCTAAGCTACTCTGTGTCTCTGTGAACCCATGAACCTTCTGCTCCACCTGCCGGCTGAGAGTCTCATCTGGCTGCTGATGGGGGTGCAGGGTCCCCGACATGCCGTCACAGTAGGACTCGGCCCTATTTAAAATCCACACTATACATCAGTATAGGACACTGGGGCTACGTCTACACTGGCATCCTTTTCCGGAAATGCTTAAAACGGAACAGTTTTCCTTTATAAGTATTTCCGGAAAAAGCGCGTCTACATTGGCAGGATGCTTTTCTGGAAAAGCACTTTTTCCGGAAAAGCGTCCGTGCCAATGTAGACACGCTTTTCCGCAAAAAAGCCCCGATCGTCATTTTTCTGGAAAAGGATTTTTGCCCTAATGGGAGCAGCATAGTTTTTCCGGAAAAGCACTGATGATTTTACAGTAGATCGTCAATGCTTTTCCGGAATAGCAAGCGGCCAGTATAGACAGCTGGCAAGTTATTCTGGAAAAGCGGCTGATTTTCCGGAATAAGTGGCCAATGTAGACACAGCCATGGTGTTTTTCACAAGGGTAACGCTCCAAAGGGCAAGCGGATTCTCAACTCTGGCTAGCACTAGCAGCTGACTAGTTCATACTTGGGTGGCTCAGAAGCTGCCAGAGTGAATTGTACGGAACTTGCCAAAGGAAACAGCCTTTCAGAGCCAAAATATGCAGGAGAGATTCCAGGCCAAAAGACAATCCAGGTACAGCTCTGCATCAGACCAGCCTCTTCGGGCTGAGGAGGGCCTTCAGTGACACGAAGGCCACCTACTGGCCCCCTGTCCGGGGTGAACGTTACCCTCATGGCAGAAACCTCCAAAGGCACCAGTTTAAGACCCATGTAGCTCAAGGGCAAGAAGAGACCCATTAGGAACATGGTTCTCTCCACTGAGTGTTCCCATTCCCAGTGACACATGCTAGCCTGAAGTTCAAAGGCAGATTCATGGGTTTTAAGGTCAGCAGAGACCATTACGATCCGACCGTCTGACCTGCAAACAAGCACTTCTGAGCAAAAGAAATCAGCTTTCCTGACTTACCCACTGGCTCAGTGAAATCTGGGTCAGTTTTCACATGGAGCAATTCTTCATAACCTTTATATTTTGCTGGAATATACGTGCAGCTGTCTGGTGACTTGGGCTTGTTCTTCCTTTTCCCTTGTCTGTCCTGCAGTTCGTGTCTCCACACAGAGTTGGGTATGTCGTCCGCATCGTCCAGCTTTAGATCCAGGGGAACGGATTTACAACGGGCACTTTTCATTGCAAAGCAAATCACCAACAAACCCCCCAAACCACTTACTCCACCCAAACGCCAGATCTGATACAGACCTCCCAGAGTTGAAGTCTACTTTTGACTACATCAGCTATAACTCCATAGCCCCTCTGGGGTTACATGGGATTTAGTGAGGCAGAAATTGCCTCTACACATCCAAATTTGAGGCATCTAGGTTTCCTAATTGAGTGCATTGTAAAAATAATACTATTTAGTAAGTATAGCATTGAATACCATAACACTCCCTAAGCATTAATTTACTTGCAACACTCCTGAAAAAGCCTTTTATCCCAGCCTCACTAGGATTTTTCAGGAACTTCAGGAGGTAGCCGAGTTAGTCTGTTATAGGGGAAAAAAATGGTCTGGTAGCACTTTATAGACTAACAAAACATGTAGAGGGTATCATGAGCTTTCGTGGGCACAGCCCACTTCTTCAGATGACTGGAGTTATGAGTAGGGGATATGAAAACTTAAAATAAATAGGAGAGGGGAAGGAGAGGGGGGAGAAAAAGAAAAAAAAAAGGAAGGAGGGGGTGAGACAGCACCATTAAGTATCTGGAGAATGGGTACTTAAACCTAAGCAGATCAAAGTAGATAGATAGATGCTAAGACAGGAAGGATACCACTCACAGAGCTGTTAGCACCTTCAGTGGTTATGAGGTAGGTAGTGTCCTAGTCAGCCCATATCGCGATTGAGTCCATTAGCATGTGAATTGAATTTGTGGATGAAGTGAGATTCCAATCCTTAAGACTAGGACGGGCTTAGGTGTTCTTAGCACTGTCCAATCCTAAGGTTACACAGCAGGTAGTAGAGATACAGGGGCTCATCTCAGCCTGTCTGTGTGACTGTTCCAGCCGGGGGCATTCTAGATCCAAAAAATCCTTCACAGAGCAATAGGGAGTTTGCTCATTGTCACGCAGCAAGTCACTAGCACTGCTGGGAACAGAAGTTAGCTGTGCCAGTGCTTGGCACCCTGCTCTCATCACTAGCCCACGTTCCCTATCAGCGAACGGAACTGTAACCACATTTACTAACACAGGCAAATCGAGGGGCAGGGAAAGGATGTCTGGAAAGCTGCCCTCAGAGCTTCTGAAAGGGACTTGGTCCCATGAGTGGTACCAGCCTGACTGCGCTGCTGGCTGAAGTCCAGCCCTAGGCTGGGAGCAAATTAGGAATTGACCTCCTGAGACTGGAAGCCCTGGGTGCGGAGAGTTTTGTACCCGTGTATGCAGCGCCCAGCTCAACTGTGGCCTGCTGGCATCACTGCAATCCAAATAATAAACAGTAACAGCTTCACCAGGCGGCTCAGCTGGCGCACCGCCGTCCAGCTCTGGGTCAATGCCTCGAGGGAGCCTCCACACACACCTTCCCTTCGGACATGCTCTCTGCTGAGACCTCTAATAAGGACGCCAATTAACGGTTTATACTGTCACTTTCCCAGTGGGAACAGAAAAAGCAACAAGCAACTTCCTTCACACATATCAGCAAAGAGCCATCAGATGTAATGGGTTCCGATGACCTGGGCTGGATGTGAACCGGTAACTACAGGCGCACGGTTCTCCAGTCCGTCACCAAGCGCCCCACCATCTAGTCCACCTGCAGCCTCGTTACCTTTATCTTTATAAATACAGTCACGAGCAGGAGGGTAGAAGACAGTGTAAAGCTTATAGACAGACTTTATAATTCAGAGCCTGCAGCGAAGCCTCCCTGGGAGCAGGCTGGCATCCCCCGCCCCTCCCGGAAGCCATTGTGTAGCCATAATGGAAAGCGATAAGCTGAGGCGTATTGGTTAACCGTTTAAACAGTTGCACTCTCACATCCCTAGTGACTGTACTTGTTCCTGCTGGCTTGTAAGTGGAGAATTGTGCCGTGATGCCCTCCAATTCTATGCATGCTGAGCTTTCTTCTCTGGGAACACACAGCATTGTTTGCACCATCTGAGTGATTCCAGACTAGCCTTGGCTCTCGCATGCTACATACCTCGCTCACGAATTCACAAGTGAGGCTGCTTAACACTCGGCAGACACACGGGACATGCTCACGCACCTGAGTCAGGAAGAACAATCCCATGTCATCTCCAGAGCTGTCAGGAGCAAGCTTGGGATTGCAGCTGTCTTCCTCCAGCACCTCCCTCCAGCTCCCTAGCGTTTTGGCATCATCAGAAGGCTCCTGGTGCCGCTGAGCTGAGGAAGGTCTGATCGGCGGAAGAGGGTCTGACGGGCTGAACATGTATGATCCTTCCTCAGACTCCTCGGGTTTACCTCCCTCTGTATCTGACCAGAGTTTCCAAAAGAAGGACTCCAGAGGAGCTTCTAGCATCAGAGGCTGCTTTGGAACCTTTGGGACGTGTGATGTTACCTGGAAGAGAAGTAAAGGGTGAATCTCCCCAGCTCTCTGAGCCCTGACAGATACTGAGGGTGCTATAGGACTTCTCACCCATTTGGGAAGGGGCAGTGGCACTACTAAATAAACTGTGTAGGCAGGGCCTGAATGCAGACAGCTCCGGTCAGCATCAGGGTGTGACTCCTAGACTTGGGCTAGAAGGGATCACTCATGATCAAGTCTGACCTGCACATTGCAGGCCACAGAGCCCATCAGAGCTGTTCCTCACTCTGGCACTCCGAGTGCAGAAGGTGGGGCCCACAAGAGACCTTAAAAAATACCTTGCCTCTACAGGCCCTGCTTACAAAACCTCCCAGAGTCACAGACTCACTGACTTTGGGGCAGCGGTGGGCAAAAGGGCCGGCCTGCGGAGGGCCTGCCGCGATCCCATCCCCAGGACAATCAGGGCTTGTCCCAGCCACTCCCTCCGCCCCGCAAGGCTTCTGCGCAATCACAGGCGCCCAGCACCAATCGTGGCCCCGCCTCCCAGCCTGAGAGTCCGAGCTGGGAGGCGGGGTTGCAATCGCCGCTCTAGGTGCCCCAGAATGGGGGGGCTTATCATCCCAAGTTCCTTTTTTTTTTCTCAACCAAAAAATATCGTGTGTCTGGTATTTTTTGGGAGACCATCTGGCAACTCTACCTAACTTCAAACTTACAATTTGTTGATGGCCAGTTTACAGCCATTTGTTCTGGGGTCCACACTGGTGCTTAAGTAACTCCTCCTGCTCCCTGGAATTTATCCCTCTGACATATTTATAGAGAGTGACCCTGTCTCCCCTCAGCCTTCATTTGGTTCAGCTACGCAAGCCAAGCCCTTGGAGTCCCCTCTCAAAAGGTGGGTTTTCCAATCCTCCGATCATCCTAGTAGCCGTCCTCTGCCCCTTGCTCCCTTGTTCAGATGGTTATAATACAGCTTGGCCCCATCCACAAAGACCAGTGCAGACTCTGTGCTCCAGCCTTGAGGAGATCTGAGACTCACATCAGCTGTGAGCTCAGGCATTCACCGAAACAAAAACGGGGGGAGCTCAGCACCCACCAGACACTGTGATTCTGCACAAGGCCAGCCCCTGACCAGCTGTTTGGCAGGTGGGAGGCACTCTGGGGAGGAGCTGGAGGAGATGGGAGGGAGCGGTGGGCAGGCCTTGGGGTAGGGGACGGAGCAGGGGTAGGATCTCAGGGGAGAGTAGCACCCAAGAGGAAAAATACAAGGCAGTGCCCGTGCCCACAGCTGATGTGAGTCTCAGATTCCTCAAAGCTGGAGCACTCTTAGCAGGCGTGTCCTTTGAATGGCTAGCAGGACTAGCATGAGCGGCTTGCTCCCTGCACATTGTACAGCGATTAGACGTCCCGGGGCAGCCAGGTGCTAGTGAGCAAGGAGCGGTCAGCATCCCGCTCTTCAAAGGGAGCTTGACCTCTGACTTCATCAGGAGCAAGACTGTGTTTACAGGCTGACCCATTCCTACCTGCCGATTTGCCTTGACTGGAATGAGGAGGTGCGGTTTCTCCAGCTTTGAAATCTTTCTTCTAATTAGCTTAATCCCTAGTCTGTGCTGAAGGAAACTGGTTAGCAAAGGTGGATCACCTGCCAAACAAGGATATTGTGTTCAAACCAGCTGCATCTGTCCAGGCATTCTGCCAGCAGAAAGCAGCCTCTCCTATAGAGCACAAGTTGTGCTCAGCAACACAGCAAGGCCCTCTGGGTTAGCAGGGGCTGGACCAGCAATGGGCACCCAAAACTAGTGAGTGGGCTGCATGAGTGGCCCTCCTTGCTCTCCGTAGGCTGCATAGAATCATAGAATCATGGGCTGGAAGAGACCTCAGGAGATCAAGTTCAGCCCCCTGCCCAAAGCAGGACCAATCCCAACTCAATCAACCTGGCCAGGGCTTCATCAAGCCAGGACTTAAACACCTCTAGGGATGGAGATTCCACCACCTCCCCAGGTAACCAATTCCAGTGCTTCACCACCCTCCCAGTGAAATAGTTTTTCCTAATATCCAATCTAGACCTCCCCCCTGTAACTTGAGACCATCGCTCCTTGTTCTGTCTTCTGTCACTACTGAGAACAGCCTCTCAGTAGGAAGTTGAAGGCTGCTATCAAATCCCCCCTCACTCCTCTCTTCTGCAGACTAAACAAATCCAAATCCCTCAGCCTCTCCTCATAGGTTATGTGCTCCAGCCCCCTAATCATTCTGGTCCCTCTACTGGACCCTCTCCACATCCTTTCTATATTGGGGGGCCCAGAACTGGACACAATCAGGGCGGCCCGTGGCTATAGGTGGACTCGGCCGCCGCCTACAGCACCGCCGCCTGGGGCACCTGATGATGATGTTACGGAGGCGCCGGGGGCGCCCGCCGATGATGTCAGTCCATTTACGGCCTTGTAGGCAGGGGTGCCAATCGCGCGTTCCGCCTGGGGTGCTAGCTGCCGCCAGCCTCAGGCTGCTCCTGGACACAATACTCCAGATGTGGCCTTACCAGGGCCAAATAAAGGGAACTGCCAGTGGTGGGCAACCTGCAGCCCATAGGGTTCCAAACTGCGGCCCGTAACACACTGGGGTTCCAGTTGCAGCCTGCCCATCCCCTTTGTGCCCCCTTCCCCCATGCCTCTCGCGCACCATGGCACTTCCTACTCCTCCCCCGCCCTCCCAGCACTTTCAGAGCACCATAAAGGCACTGATTTGCGCACCGTCCCCGCTTCTCCCCCTTCCTCCCAGAGCGTGAACAGTTGCAATCAGCTGATTTGTGGCATTCCAGCTCTGGGAGGGAGGGGAAGAAGTGAGGACGGAGGCTGGCTCGATCCTGCCCCTCAAGGGGAATTCTGCTACTGCCTCCAGGGGAGCAAGAGCAGGCCCTGCTTGTTTCCCGTCTTCCCCAGGGCCAGGACCCTGGGGGTCAGGCTGGTACTGTACCGCTTCGGAGGGTGGTGAGGGGGTTGCTGTGGAACAGCCAGCAGGTCCTCCTCGTTTTTGATCTGCAAGATGAAAGACAACACACAGCATTGCCAGCTAGCACCGCTCTCTTTGATTCAGATGTTCATGCCATCATGGGCTGAATCCCTGAGGGAACGCTTAGGGGACAGAGAGGACTGTGCTGTCTAGTGGTTAAAGCACTGCACTGGGACTGAGGAGACCCAGGGAGCTAGGTCCAGCACTGCCACTGGTCTCTGGGTGACCTCAGGAAAGTTGTGTCACAGCTCCGCGCCTCAGTTTCCCCACCTGCAAAACAGGGATGATGCTTCTGATCTCCTTTGTAAAGTGGTTGGAGGTCTAGGGTGAAAAGCACCATGGAAAGCCAGGTCTGATCTTGGAGAGGCACAGCTGGTGCACTGCACAGCCAGTATTCTTCCCAAGTGAACATGGCTGGCAGGGCTGGGCAGCAGCCACTCTCATCCCTAGCAAGGAGGTGCAGTCTGGCAGCTCAGACCAGCGTGGAACAGTGCATGCTGGGAAATGTAGTCTCAATGAGCCACACCTCCATAGCAAAGAGGAGGGTGTATCTGCAGTTATCATTCACAGCAAGACAACTTCCAAGAGAACGTCTGGCCCTCCTGGGCAAATTCCCTGCGAGCATCAGCCACACTGCAGTCTGACCTGGAAGATCCAGTGCTGAGGCAGCAGCTGGGACCGACTGGATCATTCTGCCTTCCCTAGCACTGTGGGGGCCTGGCACTGCAGCTGACTGTGCGTGGGGATGAATGGAAGAGGGGGAAGGCACCACCCGGGTACTGCCACAACCTCATCCCACTCCCTGAGCACAAAGATCACCAGCAGTGCCAGATGCTTCAGAGGAGGCAGATCAGGGGCAGGCTACGTGCCCGGCCTTCTGCAGCCACAAGCAGTTGAGGGCTGGCGCTGGGCTCAAAGGTGCAGCAATTACCTATCACTCCCACCTATGCTGCTCTAGCACACCCAGAGGCAGGCATGGTGCCTCCAGCTCCCTCTGCAATGGCCCTAGGCCCTACCTCTGCCTTCCAGTGCCTTCTACAGCCTCCCCCCTAGAGCCTTCCCCCAGGCCAGAAGTGGAGTCACAAAGGGGACAGCAAATGTCTTGGACAGGACAAGCGGACAGAGGATTCTGTTTCTTACAACCCCATGGCACAGAACACAGCTGGCCAAGGCAAGTCTCTGTAGTGCAGATATTCCCAGTTCCACACTGACAGCCTACCAAGGAGTATGCTTCACACCTGGAAGCAAAATGGCTCCTCTGCCCCCGACTGCTCCAGCCTGTAGCCACACGGGCTGACTCACCTTGTTGTTGGCCAGGCTGAGGTAGCGCAGTTCCGGAAGGGGGAGCACAAACTCCTTGCTTGAGGGGTTCCTGAAACTGGCTGGGAGAGTCCTAGAGTCGGCACGACAGGAACGATCATTTCCCTCCATGAAAACATCCTTACAGAAAGAGGGGGGATGGTGAGAGAGAGACATACTGGACTGCAGCAGAGGAAACTCCGGGACATGGGGACACATAAATCCAGTACAATTACCATAACAAATCCACACTCACTGCAGGAGATCAGCAAAGTAGCCAAGGAATGAAACCAGGGAAGAGAGAGAGAGCACATGAAGCCTAATAACTAACATCCCAGATTAGGGTTCAGGGCTCCATGCCTGCCACTGACTCACTGTGAGATATTGGGCAAGTCATTTAATCTCAGCCTCAGTTTCTCCATTTGTAACAGGTCAGGTGTGTTGCCGTTATCATATCTACTGGGTTTACACTGGCTTGGCTGCAGGCAGCACACAGCCAGCTGGGACTTTCCCCTGCCGGTTGCATCTTATGTTCCAGAATTTAAAGGTTCATTTAAAATAAATGAAAATGCTAACCTTGGAATTGTAATGAAACCTTCGGGGGAAGAACCAAACCAATCACAGCTGTGATGTCTGCTTGCATCTATGCACAGAATGAAAACCTGTCGCTACACGAGGCATGAATAGCCCAGTAATTTGTTTCACTCGCTGCGCTCTGGCACCTCCTCATGGCTGGGCTTGGGGATTAGTTCTCATGTGCCCCCTTCTATGGGTCATTCGCTTGCCCCACAGCCCCTCTCGCTCTCCGGACTTGGGGTGCTCTCTTGTTGTGACTCAGCCCTCCAGCTACATCACTGCAGCTTTGCCCGGCTAGGATAGCCAAGTCCCACTGGACAATATGCCCATGTGTCGTCTCAGGGAGTTGTCTATAATTCCCAGTCTGTGCCACTTCCCCAGTGGTGCGCAGGAGAACTGAGCCCGTCCGGTGCTCCACATTCCAGCTCAGGGACCTTAAAACCAGCAGCCTAGGTCTGCACAGTCTCAATCCTCACGGCTCCGACTTTGGGCTTCTTCCTACTCTACCTATTTCTACCCACAACTCCATGGGGCAAACCCCTTCCATCAAGGACAGAATACCAGGGCTTTTGCTCCGCACTGGGTTTCCTCCTACCTTCCTCCCCCTCCCCCCGTCTATGTCCAGAGTCTGACTGCAGACCCTTCCTCATGCCCCCTTCTGCTCTCAACTTCCAGTGTTATACAAGCCCAGCCTGCCCCTGCACCTCAGCGAGTACTTATCAGTCAAGCCAGACTCCCCCCAGTGCAGCCTATAATTCAATGGGCCCTTCAAGGCTGATGCAGGGAGAACACCCCATCACAAACCCTTCCCAATCTCAATGGGGTGTTGACTCTGAAGTTTAATTGTGATGGGTTAAATCTCAAGATTTTATCACTTTTGAGAAGAGCCTGCCTGAAAGGAGAGTGGAACAATCATGTCAGGAAAATCTGCTCTAAACACAGACTGGCACAACTGTTTTGGTGACAATACTTCTTTTTCTGGCTCACTGCGGTGTATTTATAAAGCCCCTTGAGATCTCCGCATGAAAGGCACTGTGTAAGGAGGGCCTGGAGGAGGAGAAATTAACAGTCTTTTCCTCAGAAACTGCATTAAATCAGCTTGAAATGAAAAATGATTAGAGCCAGGATCTAGTGCAGGGGAACCTAGTGAGAACCTGGTTTTGCATGTTGCATTAATGCTAGAGATTTGCATGGAACTTTCCAGAATTTTCAAGTACCTCTAATGTTGCTGTTTAATATCTGAACTCCCCCGTCTCTCCCGACTGGATGGAATCGTAACAACTCTCTCTCCTACAAGTGTGCGTGCACAAATGCGTCTACACTGGAGCAGGGGGGGGAGGAGTGATTCCAAGCTCAAGCAGACATGTTACCATTAAGTGAGCTACCCTGCAGAATACTGAACATGCCACCAGCACAGTGAGTGGCAGGACGGCTCGCCATGCCACGTACATACCTGTCCAGCATGCTAGGCATGTACTCAGAGCAGCTGGCCCCTCCTGCTGCTCACATCACTGCAGGGTGGTTTTTAGCATGCTCGCTTGAGCAGAGCTAGTACAGATATGGCTCCTCAAGAGGGGAATTACACTCATCTTGACGCACAGATATAAACTGAGAGAGCAAATCGGAGGTGCGGGTGCTTAGCATCTCTAAAAATCTGGCCACTTATTTCAGAGCCTGATTTCAGTCATCCAGTTACCCAATTATGTCACCATAATCACAGAGTGAGAAACTGGCGGTGGGCAGACCAAACCCTGGACTCCTCTCAATCCAACACTGAAATCGTTAGAACGCGCTTCCACGCTGGGTAGGCAGCACTGTACAGCAAAATAGCACACAGCTTTACCTTCCATGTACACAGCAGATTTAAGAGCTGACATATTCACAGGTTATGTGAAAATTAGCTGCAGAAGCCTCTAAGCTATGGCAGCTACTGAGGATAAATCAGTCATTTGGCATTTCCAAAAGGGCTTTTAAAGAATAAGGCAGCAAGAGGCTAATGCACTTATAGAGAAGAACTGGAGAAGGAGGAGAACTTTGGAATGCACATCCTAGACCATAAGCCAACAAACAGCTCTTACCAGCAATGGTGGTTCTTGAGAGACAGACGTATAAGCCTCCTCTGTAATGAAACACAAACAAATTATGGGGCTTCTGAGTACAATTGCCCGGGACATAGATGGTCCATGATAGGGTCCTGGTCTGTTATGGGGGGCTGTGATAATACACATAATATAATAACAATGATGGAGCTGTGTGTTGTGTTGGCTCAGGCCCTAGCTAGGGGAGTTAAAAGGGTGGGTCTGAGGCTGGAAGAGACAGACTTCATGATGAACACAGCCTCTGGGTGAGTCTGCCAACAAGCACAGCAATTAGTACTGTTCAGGGCTTAATAGCAGCACATCCATTGAGGTCAAGAGCACAAGAAGAGGGCCTCAACACACTGGGCATGCTGGCTGCACTGTAATCCACAGGTGAAATCCTGGCCCAACTGAAGTCAATGAGAGTTTTGCTATGGATTTCAGTTGGGACCAGGATTTCACTTCACATAAATATTTATGGCCAGAAGGGAACTTTAAAATCACCATGTTTGATGTCCTACCAAAGAGTTCCCTGAGTCAGCTGTTCCCCCACCCCATCCCTAACACACATATTATCCTCCAAGGTACAGCTGTTTTAATCATGCCCTGCAGTCTCTCTGATATTGGAAAGGCTCAGCAGTGCAGTAAGAAGCCTGATCCTTCTTTCAATGAAATCAATGACAATGTTCCCATTGATTTCAACAGGAGAAGGCCAAGGGCTGGGAACGAAAAGCAGAGTTGTTACCTGTCCCATCTGGATCCGGAGTGTTTTGTAAAACCATGTGCTCCAGTGGCTCTTCCTCCATCACCAGCTTCCTTTGCAACCCCGCCGCACCTTGCAGCAGCTGCTCATGCTTCTGTCCCAGTCTAGAGGGGTCCATCTTTGCTGATCGGGGGTGGAGGGAGAACCGGGAATTCTCCATTTGATGCAGGTAGGGCACCTCTGAAATCCCATTCTTGTCCAGGTTTAACTGCTTCAGGCTGATCAGAAGAGGAAGTGAAGGTGAAGACTAATGAAAATTATCCTGCCACATACGCACCTTCTGTTTAACCCCTGTTGTTAGCACACAGAGTGGGAAACTGCCCCGAGACTCTATGGGTGCTGTCCTTCCCCATAACTAGGGATGTTAAAATTAGATTTATCAACTAACTGAATAGTCAATGGAATTTCCATCGACTATTCCATTAGTCGATAAGGGCGCTTCTGCTTTGAAATGTAGCAAGAGCCTGCCCGGCTGTTGCTAAGTTTCAAAGGCAGAAGTGTGACAGTGGATTTCAAAGACTGAAACACCACATGGAGCCCGGGGCCAGTGGGGAGTCCATGCAGCGTTTCCACTTTGAAATGTACAAGAGCCTCAGTGGGGACTCTTGTACATTTCAAAGGTAGAACACCGCCGCTGCACCCCTGCCCTCTCCCACGGAGCTGGAGGGGGAACCAGCTTTTAAGCCAGCTCCCCCCAGCATCCCCTTCTCTTCCCACCCCCTTTGCTTCCTCTTTCTGATAGACTAGTGTGTTGACTATCCAACAAGCTTTTGCTTATCAGAAAGACAACTCGTCGATTAGTCACTTGCATCCCTACCAATAGCTATGTAACATGACAGTTTCAGAGACAGCAGCTTCTGTCACTGATCTTTGTCTATGCTGAAATATGCTAAGGGAACAGTCACAGGCCTGACTGTGTATGTGCTGAGGAAGTCTATGGGATCCTGCTGTAAGAAGATAACAATGCTTTGTACTGACACAGAAATTTAAAATCGCTGATGAATTTAACCTGTGAGGAAGAGAAACATGATTATCCCCAATGGGAGGTGAGGCCCAAAGAGATTATCTGGCATCACAAAGGAAGTATGTTGAAGAAACAGGAAAAAAATCCAGGGCTCTCGATACCCAGGTTCTTGTCCCAGCTCAGTCCATCCGTCCTCCTCTCCAGAATGTCACAGACAATACTAAATTCTACTCTGGGAACATCTACAATGAGGAAGAACAATAATATATAGAGCCTCTCTTTGAATCCAGACCAAACCACCACCTCCAGGCTACTTACAGTTCCAAAATGCTTGCCAAAAAACATATTCTAGTGATTAATGTTAGCACTAGGAGTCAGAAGAGAACATAAGAACAGCCGTACTGGGTCAGAGCAAGAGTCCACCTAGCCCAGTGTCCTGTCTGCTAACAGTGGCTTTAGTTTAGTCACACCTCCACCACTAACTGCCTGAGTGATCTTGCAAGAGACACGTCATCTCTTTGTGACTCAGTTTTCCTCCTGTGAAATGGGGATAAAAACACACAGCAACTCACAGAGTGCTGTGGTGTCTGACTCAGTGTTTGCAAAGGGTTTTCAGGTCATTCAGCGTGACAGACATGCAGGGTATTATACAATGTTCTCCTGCTAGCTCCCCTTGGCTTGTTTATGTAATGGTTTGCTGGCAATTCCGAAAAATTGGGGGGGCGGGAGAATTATTTCAGGTTGAACCAAAAGCTTTTTTTTCAAATTTGCCGCAAGTCAAAAAGTTAGGGTGGAAAAGCTCAAACAGAACATTTCATTTCAAACACTTCAATTTTGACCATTATTTTAAGGATTTGATTTTTTTTTTTAAATAAAATTAAAGTTGGAAACAAAAAGTCATTCTGAAGCAAAAAAATAAAAACTTTTCACCTCTGAAACGTCAGAGCAAAGCACGGCTGTTTTGGGGGATCTTGTTTTAATTTTGTTGTTTATAATTGAAACAGTTTGGCAAAATGGACACAAACATGTGCCCCCAAATCTGCTTTTTTTCTACCGAAAAAGTTTCAGATGAAAAATTTCACTTAGCTCTCCTCCTCCCTCCAAGCTTTCCCTCATGCTCTGCTGTACACCACATGCATGCCCCCTCCCCATTCAAAAACCTTCTCAAATACTATTGTTCTATGACCCACACCAGTGTGTTCATTATTTTACACCCCCCTCTTAAGGAGAGGTTGGTACCTGATTCTGCACTGGCTGATCTCAACTCAGATGCCTCTAAAATGCAATGCACACCAGCAGTGGACTGTATCAAAGGGACTTTTCCCATTGACTTCCATAACTCAGCTGGCCTGAAATAACCTAATGGACTCATCAGAGACAAGTAAATCCATAGAAGGAAAATGGGGAGAGCAATCTGCACCGATCCATCATTTCTGAGCCTTGGGACATGAGCAACAGCACTTGTCGTAGTTCGAAATGACTTCCCACCCATTCCTTTTAGGGCAGTTGCAGGGGAGGAGGGCCGTCATTGTCACTTTGCTGCTGTTTTCATTTGACCTACAGTCCCCAAGACTGGACAAAGTGGAAAGGAAAATACCCTAAATGAGTTAAAGACTTGTTAAAGTTTCACTGTGTTGCTAAGGGGCAACTAGTAGAGCCGGGCGCTGTGCCCAAAGAAGTCACAATCATCTGCTGCGTGATGGTTTCTTTACCTGCGGAGATTAGCCAGGCTCACAAAGACGCTGGGGTGAGAAAGGTCATTGTCATCCAGCAACAAGACTTCTAAAGATGGAAACCTTGAACTTGTGCCATCCCTGCAAATTTGAAAGGGATCTCATTCACAAATCACTCACGTGGGGACATGCCAAAACCACAGTTTTGGCTGCTATGCAAGAAACAGACAACCACTGATTCACCCAGAGACTGGAGCCTTCCCAAAGCACATGTTATATTTTTAAAATACAGGCCCCATTAAAGTGCCATTTGTAAATAATTTATAAAGGGTTAATAAGAACATAAGAACGGCCATACTGGGTCAGACCAAAGGTCCTTCTAGCCCAGTATCCTGGCTGCCAACAGTGGCCAGCACCAGGTGCCCCAGAGAGGGTGGACCGAAGACAATGATCAAGCGATTTGTCTTCTGCCATCTCTCTCCAGCCTCTGACAAACAGAGGCCAAGGACACCATTTTATCCCCTGGCTAATAGCCTTTTATGGACCTAACCTCCATGAAATTATCTAGCTTCTCTTTAAACTCTGTTCTAGTCCTAGCCTTCACAGCCTCCTCTGGCAAGGAGTTCCACAGGTTGACTATGCACTGTGTGAAGAAGAACTTTCTTGTATTAGTTTTAAACCTGTGTAAAGAACTTTCTTTTATTAGTTTTAAACCTGCTACCCCTTAATTTCATTTGGTGTCCTCTAGTTCTTCTATTTAGGGAACTAATAAATAACTTTTTTTTATCGGCCCTCTCCACACCACTCATGATTTTATAGACCTCTATCATATCCCCCCTCAGTCTCCTCTTCTCTAAACTGAAAAGTCCCAGTCGTTTTAACCTCTCCTCATATGGGACCCGTTCCAAACCCCTAATCATTTTAGTTGCCCTTTCCTGAACCCTTTCTAAGGCCAAAATATCTTTTTTGAGGTGAGGAGACCACATCTGTACACAGTATTCAAGATGTGGGCGTACCATAGTTTTATACAGGGGGGCTGTGTCTACACTGGGCCACTTATTCCGGAAAATCAGCCGCTTTTCCAGAATAAGCTGCGAGCTGTCTACACTGGCCCTTGAATTTCCGGAAAAGCAACCATGCTCTACTGTACAAAATCAGCCGCTATTCCGGAAAAACTATTCTGCTCCCACTCGGGCATAAGTCCTTATTCCGGAACACTGTTCCAGAAAAGGGCCAGTGTAGACAGCCTAGTAGTCTTTTCCAGAAAAAAGCCCCGATCGCGAAAATGGCCAAATGGTCGTAGCCAAATTAGCCCCCGTCATACTGTATGTATAGTTGGGGTTATTTTTCCCGATGTGCATTTAGTTTCTCCGCAATGGCTTTATCGTCCTTGATTGCTCCTTTTATAGCTCGATCATCTAGGGACCCACAGGTTTTTTAGCAGGCTTCCTGCTTCTAATGTACTTAAAAAACATTTTGTTATTTCTTTCTGAGTTTTTGGCTAGCTGTTCCTCAAAATCTTTTTTTGCTTTTCTTATTGCATTTTTACACTTGATTTGACGGTGTTTATGTTCCTTTCTATTTATTTCACTAGGATTGGACTTCCACTTCTTAAAAGATGCCTTTTTGTCCCTCACTGCTTCTTTTACATGGTGGTTAAGCCACGGTGACACTTTTTTAGGTCATTAATACATTATTAATAGCTGTTTCACTGAGTTATGGGCAAACTTAGATGGTTCTAAGCAGGTCACTGGCATGATTTAGATGTGTTAAGCATATTTGTGGCATGCTTTTGATATATTAAAGATGGTTCTAAGCATGTCATTGGAAAGATTTAAATGTGCTATAGATGGTTGTTACCTATTTACACTCTGCAGTGATTATGACACTCTGCGATGGTTACTTAACCATTTTACAAACCCTCTATTAATGATCTATTAACCCTGTATAAACTATATCGAACAGTTTGGAGTAGCCAGAGCAATCCTTTCCCTAACTGACAATAATTGGCTCCTGTGAACAATTCCCCCTCATCCCTGAGCGCCCCCTTGTGGCTGGGCACCAGGATGCAGTGATTAAAATCCCATAGTAAAGTGCAGTGTGTTTGCTTTTGCCCAATTTATGAAGAGATCAGATTATGCTGCATCAGTGACCTGTCCTCTTCATTATTTACCAGTCCCTGAATATTTGTGTCATCTGCAAACTTTGTTAGTGATGATTTTACGTTTTCTTCAAAGTCATCCTTAAAATTCAAGCCAGAGACATACCGCTGAAAGTCTCCTCTTAAGAGGTGTGGAGGGCCTTTGACTTCAGTGGGAGAGTAAGGACTCAGAACTTCTCAAGAGTCCGTTTGAAGGATGGGATCCCTTTATGTTACAGAGGAACAGGCTGAGGCTGGAGTGCAGAGACAAGACACTCAACACAAAGGTTCCCAGCTTGGCCTTCTGCCTCTGCTAGGGGAGGCAGCTGTTAAAAAACAATACTTAGGAGTTGGGGTGAATGGGAGGTTCTTCTCCCACCTTGATCACAGGACAAGTGTTGCCTGAGGGTACTCACATACTTGTAGCTTAACCCATGCTTAAGTGCTTTGCTGAACTGTATCTGAAATGTGTGCAAGTCTTAAGTAAGGGGAAGCTGCATCCTGCCCAACCAGCCAGGGGATGGAGAGCAGACTATCTGGTCTCACAGGCATGTTGCCGACAAAGCTCTACTTCAGAGCTGACTGACTGAGAGAAACCTGCAGCTCACACAGCTGATCCTCAGCTAACTGAGCAAGCTGGATTTTCCATGATAAACCTTGTGTGCTTCTGGATTCTAATGTGCTGTCAACTCCGTATGTCCTGGGGCAGGGGGAAAATCACACTCACTCTGTCATCAACCTGGAGGCTATTTCACCGAGGGTTCTTTTTTACCCAGAAAAAAGACAAACAGGGTTCAGTTTTCAAGGCAAGAAGAGACTGTGGTCAAGACCAGCTCAATTCTTTGTCTGCCAGCGAGTGTTCCCTGTACGCTGAGCAGTTGGGTGGCCATCCAGGAGAGATTCAAATGCCGCTCATCTGTTTAGCAGAGTGCCCAAAGCCAGAAGCATGTGTTTATATTGGTGGTGCACATCTGCACTTGCTTCAGTGCATGTAACAAAATTTATTCCGCACATTGACAGACCAAAACATTAGAGGAAACATTGCGGGCAACCATGACTACAGCCATCTAGCAGTCATGTTAACAATGCAATCTGCTACATGATCTTCACCTTACCACAAAAGCATGTCTTTTAAACAGCAATGTGTCATGGTTACATTTCAGAGACTGGACAATGCATAGTGAGAGTCTGTCTTTTTATTCAGATCAAATGAATAATACTGCACCATTCTTTCTCTTTCAGACTTACTGCTCTGAGTCTGCCAGGTCAGAAGGAAGAGATCTAAGTCCATTGGCTGTTAGGTGAAGAACCTTGAGTTGAGACAAAACTCCCAATGTCCGGACGTCCTCAGGAGATAAATTATTGTAAGAAAGATCCAATATCTAGGGGAAATGTAAATAAAATTCCCACTATAGTAAAAAAACAAACTCTCACCTCTGCTAGAATTATTCATGATTTCCTATGTATATAAAATATTTTAAAATAATAATAAATAATTGATATTCAATGCAGGCCTGATTCTGTGAGGTGATAGGGACTCTCAACTTCCAGAGACTTCAGTGAGGGAGGAGGGTTCTCAATTTTTTGCAAGAAGAGCTAAGCAACGAGTCCTTGATTAGATGTATCTGATATCTAAGACAATGCTCATATTGCAGACTGGAAAACTGAGGCACTGAGCAGTTCTTTGACTCACTGATGGTTACATAGAACACCTCTGGCAGGGTCAGGAATAAAACCTAAATCTCCTTGCTCCCAATCTTGTGCTCTAAGACTATATTATCCTCCTTCCTCTAATCATGAGCGTACTTGGTTTAAAAGAACGACTGTAAAAAAATAGGCATGTGGCTTTAAACACTGACTAACAGTATCAAAAATGACATTTTCCCCACAACATTATCAGAAAAATCTCTTCAACATCCCTTATTAACAGTGTCTGAATAAAAGATGCTCAAAATTAGCTCTTCTGGGTATTCAAAAAAATTCTGAAGGCATCACCATCTCATTCACTAATTTCCAATATGGGTATCACATGTGAAATACTGACTAACACCTAGCCTAAAGTTACATTCGCTCTTGTCACCAATGGAGTATGTGAATCACATCTGTGCCCAAATGATAAAATTTTCATTTAATTCTTCATATTTTCAGTCTACATCTTCACCATTTTGCTCAGGTTTCAGTCACAATATCCACAATGAAGTCTAAATAACCTATTAAATAATGTTAATAACAAATACTCAGTAATAATGTTACACCTTGCTATGACAACTCTAAATGTGGGTGGGTAGGAAATGAGCTTGATTCTACCTTCTCTCTGATCTTACTTCCAAGTGTAGAAAGTCTCCAGCGCTGATTTTAATATTTCTTAATCCATTCAAGGAAAGTTCTAGTTCCCTTAGCCCAGAAAAGTTACGAAATGCTTCTACATGGATAAAAAAAAGAAAAAATGTTACACGAGAAATTAATTGTGTTGAAAGAACAACTACCATCTTGCTGTGGTGCGGGAAAGATTGGGACCATGTTTTTCTAGGAGAGTAAAAACAAAACAGATTTTATTGGCAACAATCATTTATATGGGGTTGTTCTGAAATTCCTGCCTTTAAATACAAAGAAAGGAACCTAGCAAAAAGAGGGATCCAGCTCTCACTGAAAGCCAATGGGAAATGACCATCTAATATCCTCAGGCTGCCTTCATTAGTGCTGGTAAAAAGCACTGGCCTCTAAATCCTGAGAGGTGGCAGAACCCACCCAGCAACAAAACGCCTGCTTCCTCAGATGAATGACGGGGCAGCTCTTGGGACTTAGCTGAACATAGGGGACAAAAAAATGAACCAACAGGGATAAGGTGAAGATCATAGGGACAACATGAGAGAACCACAAAGAGACACCAAGCAGAGAACCCTGGCTTGACAACCCTGGAGACCAAAGTTCCCTGTTTATACAAACATCAGATACATCATGAGTAATCATAGAATCACAAAATACTAGAAATGGAAGGGACCTTGAGAGGTCATCAAGTCCCATCCCCTGCCCTCACAGCAGGACCAAGCACCATCTAAAGTCTAAACCATCCTTGACAGATATTTGTCTAACTTCCTCTTAAATATCTCCAATGATGGAGATTCCACAACCTCCCTAAGCAATTTACTCCAATGCTTAATTATCTTGACAGTTAGGAAGTTTTTCCTAATGTCCAACCCTAATTCTCCCTTGCTGCAATTTAAGCATTGAATAATAGCAGTGAAAGCCACACCGGATCTCAATCCTGACTTAGAGAGACCATCACTATGAGTCACTGGTCTCAATACTAATTCTATTGACATGTAACCATGTCTATTAGGAACTGGACTGAGGCCATCATAGTCACTTCACAGAAGGGCCAATGTACAGCGATCAGGCAGGAACAACTTTTAGTCATTACTCACGTGGGCAGCAGTTAAAGTGAAAAACTCTGATTCCCTATCCCTTGAGCTATCTAGTGCACCTTTCTGGAAAATGTTTCATGTTAATTTTCAGCATCACTTCCCAATATTCAGCAAAACAAAACAAACAAAACACTGACATGAAAGTGAGCTGCAAGCCTTTTTAAACTATCGAAAGAGGGTGTTTGGGCACCTAAAACAATCTATCCCACTAAGGATTAGGAGAGTCACAGGAGCGGAGGGTTCACATCGTCTTTTCTGGCTAAGTAAAGAATTGAGACTGCAATTTTATTTTATGGTGAGTCCTGGGAATTTGGGATGGCCTCCACATAGGTCACAACTAGGACTCCAATCCTTCAATTAATAACACATGGAGTGTTACAGGTGGTCCTCCAGAGTGCTTTCAATGACTGGGCTGAGACCTACAGAGTTCAGGAACACAGGTTCACTTTCAATTAGGGTGGACAAACCTCCAGGATTGGCCTGGAGTCGCCAGGAATGAAAGACTGATTTTTAACTAAAGATTATGTTGTGTGATTAAATCTCCAGGAATACAGCCAACCACAATTGGCAACCCTATTTCTAACAAAATAATGACAGCCGTTGCTTCTCTTGTAATCCCCTCTCCTCCTGGGCCTGCCAGGAGCAATCCTGCATATCCCTAAATACGCCTGCAAATGCAGTGCCTACTGCCTTGGCAACATTGACCATGAATGAACCTGTCTCAATTCCAGCCCTGCTGCAGTCTTCATCTGTGCCTTCAGGTTGCTTCTTACATTGATGGCTACAATTCCCATCTGTGTAGCATCTCCAGCCCCCAACACTCCAGAATGTACAGATTACTGCTGCTTCTCTCCCATGTATACAAGAAAGCATGGCAACATCATCCCATCCTGGGATCACTCCAGTGACTCCCAATGTATATTTCAGGACTCACCTCACAACTGCCATCTTTGTTTCTGAAACCTTGCACAAACTCCCATCATGCTGGGTGTTTAAATTCTTCTGGTGTGCTCCTTCACAGACTCCACCCATAAGAAGACCATCTTCGATCCCCCAATAATTTTACCTGACCGTCACTGTTTTCAGTTTCCCAAAGTTTTGCCGCATTTAAAGGAATGTCTAAACTGCAGGCATAGTTAGATTGGCATAGCTTGCCAACACCACCCTACAGCACTGAAAACGTTTTTTTTTTTTTTTTTGTGTCAAGGTAGGAACACCTATGTCCTCAAATTACAACAGCTATGTCAGCGGAATCACTCTTATGTCAATACAACCCGCAGTGTAGATGCGGTTATGTCAGCATAGCTATGCTGGGCAGGGGTGGGTTTGTCATGGCCCTGATAGACGGAGCTATGCTGATACACTTTTCAAGTGTACACTAAGCCTTACTTTTCCTCTGCCTGGCTAACCATCCATACGTCTATTCTCCCTGGCCTATCCTAGATATCTACCTGTCAGAATGACCCACCAGCTGGATTATATGCCCCAATGTTCTCTTATGCTCATGCTGTTGTGAAGCTAGTAAAGGTAACGGGTACAATGGAATGTAGGAACTGCAAGAGGAGATCAGATCCAAAGTCCTCCCAGTCCAATAGCCGGTCTTGGCCAATGGCCAATGGCAGATGGTTCAAATAAGGTGTAAGAGTTCCACTATAGGCAGTTGTAAGGCAATCTGTCCCCACATTAAGTCTCATCCTGATCAGAGATACATGCTTAAAATCGTGTAGCATGAGGTTCAATATCTCTTCCAAAACATTATAGTTAATTATACCTCTGGAAATTCTTGATATTACTGATGAACACATTTGAAAGAAAATATAAGCCACACTCCATTCAATGCAATCTCTGCATTTAAGCCTGGCTCATTGGTTAACCTTCATGGTTACACGCAGTCCCCCCCATCCCCACACTGCTGCTTCTGTATCAGAGGCAGCAGTGCAGGAAGTAGGTGGGAGCTGGTTCACGCTGGGAGCCGGTTTTTAACCGGATAACTAATTAAGTGGGATTTTACATCCCTACGTGATACTGGCTTCCTTTGTACAATGCTATGACATCTACTAATCCATGTTAGTCTGTATTGGTAAAAACAACTAACAGTTCTGTGGCACCTTAAAGATTAACACATTTATTTTTATTGCCAAGTTTAATACCACATCTAACAAATTGGGCTCCAATCCAGAAAAGCTTAAGCCCAAATAAATTTGTTAGTCTTTAAGTTGTCACAGGACTCCTTGCTGGCTTCCTGTAAGAGCTAGGCATTATCAGAATTATAATAAGAACTGCTACAAGGAAACGTACTGAACAGTGGGGAGAAATTCTCCTGTGTAAAGGTGACACGTGTATTCTTTTTTAAAACCTATTTGAAAGATTTTAGCCAAAAGCTAAAGATGCTTAGTTTCCCTGTATCGTGCCTGTATCTATGAGATGCATCTGCATTTCAGCAGTGTGCATCCTTACCTAATGTCAACAGGTTTTCTGTAGCATTGATATACGCGACAGAATCAAACTGCTCAAAGTCATCTTCTTTAGCCTGATAAAAGAAAGAAAAAAAAGCAAGTGTACCTATCTGTTTTGAAATAGCTGTGTCTTTTCTTGTTGCAACCAAGCGGTAGCACTTCCCCGTATTTGTTTCCCACTGTCCTAATGTGCATTCTAAAAATGGGCAGCAAGTCTCTGAGGGTCTGTCTTCACTGTAGAATTAACATGGGTGATTAATTGCTCCACGTCCTTATATGAATGTAAAAAAAAAAAAAAAAAAAAAAAAATCACATTTAAACTATTAACCAGTTAACAGTCTTGCTGGGCTGGAGTACCTCCCACCCATGGCATGGCGTGGTGGGCCCACTCGGCTGCTCAGGCCAGGCCAGGCACCAGTTATCTAGTTACCCCAATAAGCATGCCAGTAAGGCAATGCTCACCCGGTAACCATGTAACAGATTACCCCTTTACATTCCATGGGTATGTCTACACTACCCTCCTAGTTCGAACTAGCGGGGTAATGTAGGCATACCGCACTTGCAAATGAAGCCCGGGATTTGAATTTCCCGGGCTTCATTTGCATAAGCGGGGAGCCGCCATTTTTAAAACCCCGTTGGTTCGA